AGATGGAGTCTTGCTCTGTTGCTCAGGCGAGAGCTGGAGTGCAGTGGCATGATCTCAGCTCATTGCATCCTCTGCCTCCTGGGTTCAAGTAATTATCCTGCCTCAGCTTCCCGAGTAGCTGGGATTATAGGTATATGCCACCATGCCCAGCTAATTTTTATGTTTTTAGTAGAGACAGGGTTTCGCCATTTTGGCCAGGCTGGTCTTGAACTCCTGACCTCAGGTGATCTGCCCACCTTGGCCTCCAAAAGTGCTGGGATTACAGGTGTGAGCCACTGCGTCTGGCTGCCTTTTTTTTTTTTTTTTTTTTTAATTTTTAAATTATTTGTAGCGACAACAGTCTCACTATGTTGCCCAGGCTGGTCTTGAACTCCTGGCCTCAAACAGTCCTCCCACCTCAGCCTCCCAAAGTATCAGGATTATAGGCGTGAGCCACCATGCCTAGCCCGGTTTTGACTCCTAAGATGCTAAATATTAATAGGTAAGATAGATATACACAAGAGCTCTTTGGTGTTGTCAAAAAAAAATTCAAAATATAAAAGGATCCTGGCTGGGCACAGTGACTCTCACCTATAATCCCAGCACTTCGGAAGGCTGAGGAGGGAGGATGGCTCAAGGCCAGGAGTTCAAGACCAGCCTGGGTAACATAGTGAAACCCTCATCTCTACAAAAAATTTAAAAAATTAGCCAGGCTGGGCCTTGGGAGGCCAAGATGGGTGGATTACCCGAGGTCAGAGGTTCATGACCAGCCTGACCGATATGGTGAAACCCCATCTCTACCAAAAATACAAAAAAAAATTAGCTGGGCATGGTGGCAGACGCCTGTAATCTCAGCTACTCTGGAGGCTGAGGCATGAGAATCACCTGAATCTGGGAGGCAGAGGCTGCAGTGAGCCAAGATCACGCCACTGCACTCCAGCCTGGGTGACAAGAGTGAGACTCCATCTCAAAAACAAAATTAGCCAGGAGTGGTGGTGCATGGCTGTAGTCCTAGCTGCTCAGGAGGCTGAGGCAGGAGGATCACTTGAGCTCAAGAGCTCGAGGTTGCAGTGAGCTGTGATCACATCATTGCACTCCAGCCCGGTGACAGAGCAGTACCCTGAATGTAAATAAATAAAGGAGCCTTGAGGGCAAAATATTTGCGAAACACTAGATTCAATGCAGCACCCCAGCTTCCCAGCTCCCTTTTTTTGTGGGAATCTTAAGTGGTAAGAAGGAGCTAATGTAAATACATTCAAAACCCACAGCTTTCTCTTGTGGGACTGCGGGGAACAGCTCAGGGCACAGCTCGGAGGAATTATCATGCACTAATTGCCCCTGTGACCAGGCCGCCATCTCACTAGAGAAATAGCTCACAGGAGGGAACCTGACAGGGACTGGGGTATCCATTCAGGCACAATCAGGAAGGTCTCACCTAGAAATCCCACTAAGGCAATCATCCCTCGGACCAGTTTTTCCAGTTTCTTGAGCTGTGTTGACATCAACACCCCTTCCCCTGGGGCAGGCAGCAGGGACCCCTCCTTACAGAACCTAGAGGCAACTCAGAGTCACCCTGTGAAATAACTGGGCTCCACCTCTTTAAAAAGTGAAACCCAGTCACATGCCAAGAACTTGTTTCTTTTGTTACATTCACCTTCCAAATTATTTTTATAGCATGCCCCTGGGGCTTGGTGAGCAGAGAATCAAGAAATACGGGTTTTTCCCAGTTCTGCCAACATGACCTCAGAGATGCTCCTTTCCACTTGTACCTCAACTTTACTCTTCATAAAATAAAGACCACGTCCTGCCAGCCTCTCTCACGACTGTAGGAAGCACCGATCTAACAGTGGAGGTAACGTGCCTTCCTGCCCATGCACAGTGGAGACCATCTGTGTGCTGGTGTATGTACACTCAGCATTTTGGAGAATCAAACATAGCCACCATCATAATTTCTCAAAAGAAATCTCATTCCCCATCATCCTTGTTTCACTGTCACCATCCATGTATCCAGAACCTCCTGTGTGTGCCTGGCTCTGTGCAAAGTGCATTATGTCATTCAACGCAGATGACAACGTGGTGAGACTTAGCTGTCAAGATGAGGAGATGCACTCAGAGGTTAAGGAACATGGTCTAGGTCACACAGCTTAGTATTAAGCAGAGAAATTAAGGTTCCAACCTGTCCTGGAAGTCCCTGTGGCTGCACTATCCTGCACTAGAACTTGAAAGCGATATCTACATTTCCTTTACAATACTTTAGAACCTAGACCTTTTAAGTTAGATTGGTTCCTTTTTCCTCATTGAAACACATCCACAGAGCCACACATTGAGGAAAAACACTCCTAACTGCCAATTGTGTTTAAAAATCTACTGTCAAATAACGTCTCCAATCCCTGCACCCAAAAACTGTCAACTCTGCAGCCTCCCTGCCACTCTCCCGTCTTCCAGCATCACAGTATTGGACAAAGAGAATGTACCTGAAGGTCTGGTTCCTTGAAGGGTTGCGTGAACCATGTTTCAACAATAACCCCCCCACCGCCTTTATTTTTTGAGACGGAGTCTCGCTCTGTCCAGGGTGGAGTGCAGTAACGCAATCTTGGCTCACTGCAACCTCTGCCTCCTACCTCAGCCTCCTGAGTAGCCGGGACTACAGGCACCCATCACCAAGCCCAGCTAATTTTTGTATTTTTAGTAGAGACAGGGTTTCACCATGTTGGTCAGACTGGTCTTGCTCCTGACCTGAGGTGATCCGCCCGCCTCGACCTGATTCCCCTACTTTTTAAATCATCTTGCTGCCCGTGATTCCTGAGGCTCCCAGAGTTAGGCGAAGGTTTGGGAATGCTCAGTTTATAACTTTTTCAGTTTTCTCTGGATTAGTTAAGAGAATATGACTTCATCACTGACTTTCAGACTCAAGGAAGAGAAAGATGGAGTCTCCTCTGGAAGATCACTGCGAGTCTTTGAGAATACTCTGCTTTCTCTAAAGACTTTCCCAGCCAGTGTCCTGTTAAATGGAGTGAGGTCTTCCTCCCCACAGCCTGCAGAGCAGCTGGGTAGGGCTGGAGGTGGGTGACGTCCCTGGGCAAGGCAGCTGGAGCCGTTCACCTAGTGTGCTGTACACATACTCATTTCCTGTATGTACCTGGATGGGAAAATTCTGGAGGCTCCGCTCTAAAGAATGAAAAATGCTGATGGCTAACTAGCTGTCATAGAAGAGAAAGACTAAAAATAGAGGTCTGGGGACAGACTGCCATTTACTAGCCATATGGCCCTGGGTGAGTGGCCTCTCTGTGCCTCAGTTTCCTCCTCTAGAAAATAGTATTAAGAACCTGCTTCATAGAACTGTTAAGAGGATTAAATGAAATGATACCAAATGTCATCTGTTGTTAAGTACCATTAACCTAGAGAGTACCACCACCTAGAGAATAACTTGGAAGTTTTTAGAGCTTCTCTTCCAAATTCCTCATTGTACAAATGAGGAAACTGGCCCAGGGAGGTCAGATGACTTGCCCAAGGGAAAACAGCTGTACCAGCCTCCAGGACAAACAGCTTCTGCTTCTCTGCTGCTAACCTCAATGTCCCCAGGGTGCTTGGTCTGGGCTGCTGTTCTCAGGATTGCTAGGACTTTGGGCTGACAAGGTCCTTTCTGCTGGCTCCCCTGGCATGTCCACAACAGCCCTTCATGGCTCACTTCCTGGGAGCTCACACTCTCCTTCCAGACTCGGAATGCAACTCAATATGCTCTGGGAGCCTTTGAGTCATCCCAACTGTCAGTCAAGCTCCATCCATTCCGAACAGAGAGCGCTCATCCTCCTCCGGTTTCTGGAACTGGAATCTGGTGTTTTTCCTTTGGATTTTGCTTAATGAGTGTCTGATACCTCTAAGTATGTCAGGTTCCCTTCCCAGTTGCAGAATGGGGGCTAAAAGCCACAGGTGGATATCAGCATCTGATCCAAGACCCTGGAGGAAACAGTGAAGATGGCCTCAGGCTTAACAGGTTTCCCAGCCCATGCCCTCAACAGAAACTTTGCCCGTCTCTCCCCACAGCTGACCGGTAGAGGGGAACACATTTGCAGACAGCCTGATGGACACATGCCCTTGGCAGCTGGGAGGATGCTGATGACCATCCGAATTTCAGAGGCAGAGAACGGTTACCATGGCTACCAAAAGTTGTAGCCGTTGGCTGTTTTGGCTACGAGGACTCAGCTGACCTCTCAAGGTCCCTTCCAGCCCTGGGATTCTACAATTACCTCGAGCCAGCTGACACCATGTCTGCTGCAAGAAAATAGGGCTCGTGAGAAGTGCCTTAGAGGTCACCTTGTCTTATTCATCAGAAGTGTTGAGTCACAGGCCTACTTTCTACCTTGGCTGCATTATTAATAACCAAAGTTTTGCTTTTTTTTGGCAGAGCATTTTTATACCTTTTATAAATTGAGTTTGCCACCACCACTTTTTATTTCTCTTCCTTTTACAGTTCAGGCCAGTAATTTTGACAGAGGTTTGTCCTGTATTGTGGCCAGGGAACAGCCCAGAAAAACTTGCGTCACTAGGCCCAGTGGGGTGTGCTTCATCAGACAGAATGTGTGTGTCACGAGCCTTCTAAGAATCAGGAGGAAGGAAGTCATTCATAAAGGAGGCAGATGCTGAAATGCAACTTTGGTTTCCTCTTGCAAGTCCGTCAGCTATAGGAATGTGGCTCTTATTCACAGGGGGGCTGGATTTCTCTTTACAACCTGAGTACCAGAAGCTCCCTACCTTTCCAAGTCAGAACAGAACAGGAAAGTGGCTAATTTGACCTTTGCATTCTCCACACTGAGGGAGATCACAGGCTGGGCTGCATACCTCTCAAAACCCAACCACAGGACAGAAGTCTACACGGATTCCTAAGACTTTTGAAAGCAGGGGAGAGATATGCCCAGAAATCAGAGAACTGTGAATACTTAAAAAACAGTTGCAAACCTTTCCTTATTCCTGATGCAGGAAGCTTCATGTTTAATGGGTGTTTGGAGATTTTTAAAAATCTGTTTATATCAAGATTAAATCAAAGCCTTTATTAAACATTCCTCTTTCAAACAGCCTTTCAAACCTATACCCCTCCCCAGACTTGGGAACTGCCAGAGCTGTGGATCATTTTCATCTGACAGGGGTCAGATCCAATCAGACCTCACAATATTGAAAAGCCAAGCCAGACACACCACACTGGGCAGACGTCCACCGTCTGTGCCCCACTCAGGATCTAGGCAAAAGGTTGGTAGCGCCAGCTCTCAAACCAGAGCTCAAGCACAGGAGAAGAGGAACCCGCAGTCTGACCCTGCTATTATAGTTCCAGACCTAGCCATGCTAAACTGGACAAACAGCTCCTGGGCTGCCATTTGCTGAGGCGCATGCGTGTGCTTTTCCTTCTTTTCTCCACAGGAAAAGGTGAGAGATGGAGGAGGCAATTTTCAGTTGTGTGTGGGTTTGATTTAAGGCTTTGGCTGTGGTCTATTGATATATCAAAATACTTTCTGGGAACGCCATATTCCAAGCTCCCCATCGGAACAAATGTATTTTCAAAAATGAAAACATTGAGCAAAGATGTGGAGCGGCAACTGCTGCTGTGGGCCCAGGCCTCTCATGTCAGGATGGTGTCGTCCACCTGCTCCATGGAGTCGGCCTGGCTGGCCAGCTTCTTCAGGGACCTTCGGTTAACCTCGTTCAGCACCTCCAAACTGGCCACATCCAGGATCTTGGAGAGGGACTGTGGGGAAGGATGAGTGGGAGGAAACATAGTCAGAAAATACAGCTGCCACGTTCTCCAATCGGAGAAAGACAAAAATCAATTAACCCCAGAACTAGAGACACTGAGGTGGAATTTGGCAAAATAAGGGAATCAGATGGATCCGGGGAAAGCCCATTAAAACACTCATCTGCTTTTCTATTTTTCCCTTTTTCGTAGAATCAGGGTCTCACTGTGTTGCCCGGGCTGATCTTGAACTCCTGGGCTCCAGTGATCCTCCCACCTCGGCTTCCCAAAGTATTGGGATTACAGGCATGAGCTACCACAGCTGGCCCCATCATGCTTTTCATGAGACGAGGCAGTGGGAGTGGCAGCTTTTGGGCTTTTTTTTCTTCTTTTTGGACACGGAGTTTTGTTCTTGTCACCCATGCTGGAGTGTAAAGGCACGATCTCAGCTCAACACAACCTCCGCCTCCCAGGTTCAAGCAATTCTCCTGCCTCAGCCTTCCCGAATAGCTGGCATTACAGGCATGTGCCACCACGCCCGGCTAATTTTGTATTTTTAGTAGAGATGGGGTTTCTCCATGTTGGTCAGGCTGGTCTTGAACTCCTGACCTCAGGTGATCTGCCCGCCTCAGCCTCCCAAAGGGCTGAGATTATAGGCGTAGCCACCGTGGCCAACCAGCTTTTGGGCTTTCCAGGCTGCTGGGGGCTGGGGACTGAGTGAACACAACTCAGGGTTTCCACTGGGCAGCTCTCCTGGGATCTGCTATGTCTGTCTGGGTGTCATGTGAGATTTTATTTGAAGAAAGGGCCCTGCTCAAAAAGAAGTCTGAAAACCATGGGAATATGTGTTTTCAGGTACTGGGCCAGTCACCCAAATCTTTTTTTTTTGAGACGGAGTCTCACTCTGTCGCCCAGGCTGGAGTGCAGTGGCGCCATCTCGGCTCACTGCAAGCTCCACCTCCCAGGTTCACACCATTCTCCTGCCTCAGCCTCCCTAATAGTTGGGACTATAGGCACCCACCACCACGCCCAGCTAATTTGTTTGTATTTTTAGTAGAGACAGGGTTTCACCATGTTGGCCTCGATCTCCTGACTTCATGATCCACCCGCCTCAGCCTCCGAAAGTGCTGGGATTACAGGCGTGAGCCACCACGCTCAGCCCCAGTCACCCAAATCTTAATCTGCTCCTGAAAGCTAGCACATCCACGGTGGCAGAGAAGAACCTGCGGTTTAAATATTTCTGTGCTGAAGAAGAGCTGAAAGACAGATGCTCACAGCATGCCCCGGTGAGGCCCCCAGGCTCCTACCTGAAACACCTCTTCGCCCTGCCGCATCTTGAGGAGGTTGACAATCGCCTGGTCGCTGTAGGCCCTGACCACGGTGTTCTTATCCTTGGTGTTGTCAAGAAGAGCCTTCAGGATAGGCTTGATGGCCTGGGGATCCAGGGGAGGCAGCGGGTCCTTATTTGCCCACCAGATCATCTTCTCAGCCACCAGCCTGATGTCGCTGGATGGGTTCTGCAGACACTGTGAAAAGAACCACAAACAGGCTTTTGGATAGGCACATCGTCTGTTCCTTGAAGCAGCCCAAATGCCCAGCCTCAACACTTTGCCTACAGCATGGACACTGACCCCACTGCTCCTGTGGGAGGGTCCCAGCATGAGTTGGCCCTGGCTTCCTGCACCCTCATCTTGTGCCACTCTCCCCTTGCTCACTACTCTCAGCCCGCATGCGTTTTTACTTCCTCGAACATCCCAGGGCCTAGGGCCTCAGGCCTCTGCCCTGGCTGCTCCCACCAGCTGGGCTGTGCTTGCCCCAGATCCTCTCTAGGTTGGCTCCTTCTCATCCTGCAGTTCTCAGCTCCCATGTCATCCTTTAGAGGTGCCCCCTGCCAACCTTATCTATATCAGGGTCCTCCCCATGGGCTCCAGGGATCCTGTCTGCCTTGTTCATCTCTGCACCTTCAGGACAGTGCCAGGTGAACAAGCAGGTGCAGGCTGATGTCATCACAGACCAGGCTCAATCAAATCAGGCCCCTCAGAAACTCTGTGGGTTCCCAGTGCTGCGGGGGGAGGCAGTCACCCTTGGGAACCTCATTACTCAAGGCAAGGTCCATGCACAGCACCACTGACACTGCCTGATAGCTGGTTAGAGTCCCAGGCATGGCCCCATCTCACTAAAATGCACTCTGGCTCTGATTTCTGTGCACAGTAACGCTTCAGAAGCACACCATATCTCACGGGCCACGGGAGCCCTGCTGGCACATTCCTTGGCTTTCCTAACTAGGGCCTGGCACACAGCACAATAACCACACCAAGAAGTGCTGGGTCAGCTAGAAGAGGGAGGCGGGAAGAGAGAGGTATTAAGATGGGAACCCAGGTCTATACCTAATTTTACAAAACTAGGGTGTGTTGAAAGAATGCCTAAAATAGCGATTCCTAACTTGATTCAGAGTCACAGGTCAATCTGAGACTCTGACAAAAAGTTAGGCTCTATTGCAGTGTAAAGCACACACAGAAACCCCTTACATTCCATCCCTAAGGGTTCAGCGATCTCCTGGAGGCCGTCCACAGAGAACTAGCACACAACTAGTTGAGGGCACACTGCTGGTGTTCTCTGGTCCTAGGGCCTCCTCACAAGCCAGGTGTTAGGGGTCAAACACGTGCTTGGCCCCCACTCACCTTAACGAACAGGCTGGAGAGTTTGGCCGGCAACTGCCCTCCGCCTGTCTCAATGTGGTATCTCATGAGAAAGCCCATGCCCCGGACCCCGCTCACCGCAATGGGGATCTGTGGAGAACAGACAGCGCTAGATGGGAGGCCCCCCGCCCCTTCCCCAGAGCCAGGAAAATCCCAGTTCCTAGTAATCTCCAGGACCCTCCACCACGTCACTCCTTATCCCTACCAGAGACACTGTGACAGCTCTCACTCAGGTAGGCTGCCCCAGCTGAGGCAGATGAGCATAGTCACTGGTTCCTAGGAACAGGGATCCAAGTCCTGACCCAAAAGGGGCATCTGGATTCTTCAACCCAAATTCCTTGTTTAGGTGATGAAACTGGGGCCCAAAGGGATCAAGTGCTGGTCCAAGGGCACAGCAAGTTACCGGCAAAGCTAAAATTAGACCCAAGTCTCTTAAGCCCCAGTCTGGGGTCCACCCATGCTGTGTCCACAAGGTGCTGCCTATGGGATATGGCCTAGGGGAGGGAGAGGACTGGTCTGGCTGCCCAGATGCCTTACCCTGTCCGCCGTGGCACTGCTCAGGATCATTTCCTGAACATCACTGCTATATCTGCCAGCACAGAGTCTGCCAGGAGCCACATTCACAGCCACAGAAAGTGCCAGGCTCCGCCCGTGCCGAACCATCCAGTCAATGCCGGACACGTCCGCTGAGTGGAAGGACACGACTAGGATCAACCAGTATTTTCCAGCATGTCCCCAGCACCCATGAGGCCCATGAACCCACCCCACTGGAGACCAGCATGCTGACCCGGAGCACAAGGAAAACCCAGGCCACACTCACATGGACCTCCTTGCTATCTTGGCAGAAGCTCCCCAAAGCGGCACATTAAGTAAGGAAAGCCTGCCCATGAACCACTCCAGGCTTACAGCTGTGTTCTTTGAGCAGAGACACTGAGGGCTACAAGACCACTGCAAATTCATTATTGTTTGGTTGGTTGGTTGGTTTTAGAGACAGGGCCTTGCTCTGTCACCCAGGCTGGAGTGCAGGGGTGTGATCAAGGCTCACTGCAACCTTGAACTCTTGGGCTCAAGTGATCCTCCCACCTCAGCCTCCTGAGGAGCTGGGACTACAGGTGAGTGCCACCACACCTGGCCTGGATTTTGCTTTAACTGCTGAATTCCCAACGAAAGGACAGTCCAGTTCCTAAAAGATCCTCTGAGGGAGGGAGAGAGATGCCCATCAACTCTTCGCTAGGGCTGAGAGGCCCAGGGCCCTGAAGAGGAACTCTCCAGTGTACTTACCCAGCAAGCACTGCTGTAGAACGGCGCTAAGCTCCTCTTCGGTCAAAAAGGCACACAGTTCCCCTAGGCACCCGGCTGAGGAGATGCGAGTGTTGTCCTGACAGGGAAGAGAAGGGAGTGACGGGGTGCAGGGAACAGCAAGAGCTCTGTGGGGAACCAGGGCAGGCAGCTCTAGAGCCCAGGAAGGATAGCAACAAAGAAGGTGGAACAAGCCAACTCAGGGACTTAAGATCCAGTCCTTCCTCTAGGCACTCGTGCTCCCCTGCCAGATTGGGGCTGCCATTCACTGAAACTGCCACTGGTATGGAGTTAAACATTATACACCCAGCACTTCACTTAATTATAGAAAACCCCAGTGTGTATGCATATGGTAATCATCCTCATAATAGCAGTAATAACTGTATTTACATAGCACCTTTCTTCTTAGGAAAGCTGAATGTTTCATATTTATTATCTCAATTACTATCAACAGCCCTGTGAGGCAGGGAGGGGCAGGAGGGGTGGCACCTGCCCACAGCCACCAGGGAAGCCGGCTAGAGATGGCCACTCTGAGCTCCTTTCTCCCACAGAGCTTGTGTCATCTTGCGGCCAGAATGACCCCTGCTATCTCCCTACTGCATGAATGCCCCACTGCCACCAAAAGTACTTGGGTTCATCCTAGGAAGTCAAACTAAAGCCACTAATCAAGCCAAGGAAGATAAGGAAAGGCATGCACTTCCTGTTCAAATCAGAGCCAGGTACACGAGCAGCTCCGTGCTCCTCCCTGGCCAGCTAACTATGGAATACCAAGAAAGGATTTTTCTTTTTTTGAGTCAGAGTCTCACTCTGTCGCCCAAGTTGGAGTGCAGTGGCCGGATCTCAGCTCACTGCAAGCTCCGCCTCCCGGGTTTACGCCATTCTCCTGCCTCAGCCTCCCGAGTAGCTGGGACTACAGGCGCCCGCCACCTCGCCCGGCTAGTTTTTTGTATTTTTTAGTAGAGACCGGGTTTCACCGTGTGAGCCAGGATGGTCTCGATCTCCTGACCTCATTGATCTGCCCGTCTCGCCCTCCCAAAGTGCTGGGATTACAGGCTTGAGCCAGCGTGCCCGGCCCCAAGAAATGATTTTAAGTTATGTTCCTTATTATAGGTGCCAACTCAACATGTCCCCAAAACAAACAAACCCAAAAAGCTAATGCCAGGCTGGCACCCTGAACTGCCACCTTCAATCTGAGTGGAGGTACAGAGGGTAAGAGGATGGGCTGCCAGCAGTTTGGGCCTTTGAGCCTGAAGCAGAAGCCCAGGTGCCAAGCTAAAGCTGGCTCTGACACCCACTCTCTCCAACTTCATCTATTTTAAGCTGCACTGTGGTGAAATGCAAACTATGTTTCAATACTAACTTTTGCTTGCGCTGTACATGACTCTGTAGAAGCCCTGGCAGACTGTGACCAAGACAGCAGACTTTCCCATCTGTCCCCACAGAGAAGGCTAGGGCTGGAGTCCCACAGCCGGCGCCTGGGGACCAGAACTAGGACTTCGGAGCCATGGGAAGTGCAGCAGCAAGTGTGTGTCGGGGGTGTGGGCAAGAGCAGTGTGTGTGTGTGTGTGCGCATGTGTGTGTGTCAATGAAGTGTAAAACCATGTGAGCCCAAAGGCCCTCTCCTCCTAGATTGGCCCTACAAATGTAAATTAGGCTACAACAGAGGCTGTCTGAAAGGGAACAGAAAACACTTCTCCGTAGACTCAACTCCCTACTGGCCCCACCGTGCTGGCAGCCAAATATCTGACAGATGCTTCCAGACTGGGTGAGGCTGATGGAACTGGGACAGAAGCAGGAGTCCAGGGCTTCTGGTTTGGACTCTACTACTTGCTGGGTATGGCCCAGACAGGTCTCACCCTCGAAAACAGACCTCTAAGACTTCCCACTGGGATGTACCCTGGAGACCGTTTATCCCACTACACACTAAGTTTCTTGAGGTCTGTGACCATGAGGTCTATGCACCTCTGGGACAGGCCCTTTAGCTTGGCAAATGTTTCACAAAACAATAAATAAACCTCTTCATTTTACAAAAGTGGAAATGAGAGGCAGACAGATAAAATGACTTCTTAAAGATCAGAGAGCAAATTGGTGAGAGGTCTGGGACTCTACAAAGCTTACTTGCCTCATCTACAAAACAGAAATAACCGGCCGGGCGTGGTGGCTCATGCCTGTAATCCCAGCACTTTGGAAGGCTGAGGCGGTGGATCACCTGAAGTTAGGAGTTTGAGACCAGCCTGGCCAACATGGGTGAAACCCTATCTCTACTAAAAATACAAATATTAGCTGGGTATGGTGGTGGACGCCTGTAATCCCAGCTACTCGGGAGGCTGAGGCAGGAGAATCGCTTAAACCTATGAAGAGGAGGTTGCAGTGAGCCGAGATTGTGCCACTGCACTCCAGCCTGGGCGACAGAACCAGACTCAGCCAAAAAAAACAAAAAACAAAAAAAAAAACAGAAATCACCCATATATCCACAATACCTGCCCTGTTTCCCTCAAAACCTGAGGAAATGTTGGTGAAGCATACAGGGTGATAGAAATGTCAGGAATGCTTATTCCTACTGAGCTGTACTGGTTCTAACACAAAGTGAAGAACTCAACCTAAGGAGGAGGGAAACCAGTGGTGCCACTAGCCCTGCCTGCAGCCGTACCTCATCGTGTCCCAGCATGCTCAGCAGGAGCGAGACGATGTTTTTCCGGATGGCGGCATCCACTTTGGCCCCTGCTCCCTGAATCACAAACCTCAGGGCCTGCAGCATGGTGTCCCTGCAGAAGCGACGCACCAACTTAAGCCCTGGGTGCCTCCACCACCACCCCTCCTGCCAGCGCAGGCTCAGCCCAGAGCAACCCCTGGCCTCCTGGAGGCCACAATGCTCCCTTGCTAAAGCCGTACCTGACACCTGGGTCCTCCATGGCACGGATGCCGTTGAGCAGCTCTGTGAAGAGGGGATCTACCTTAATGTGGATGGAAATGAGCTTCCCCAGAGCATCTGCGGCCTTCAGGCGCACCCCCCGGTTGGAGTCCTGCAGGGCTTTGGTGAAAGTGGTCTGCAGCTGGGGCAGGAAGGGCTTCAGGGCAATCCCAACCTGTGGGAGGAACCCATATCCGTGAAAGACAGTTGTGGTGGACCCAAAGCCACAGTGTACCACAGGCATGAGAACAAATGACAATCCCAAACTACCACAGCGAGTCCAGCTCTCACACAGGGCTAGAGACAGACAGCCCGTCAGAGAGGCTGAGCACAGACAGGTTTCGCTTGGCCTCCTGGTCATATCCAGCATGCTGTGATGTACTGGAGGAGCAGGAGGCTGAGGAGGCGGCAGCCGCGATCTGAGGGAGCTGTCTCGAAGCCTTGGCTTCATTGCGGTTTGGCTTAGTGGAGACCCGTCCATAATGATAAGTGACTCAAAACCTCCTCTGAATACATTAAAGAGCAGGGCAGACTGTCGGCAGTGTTGAAGCACAGTTCTAACGCCAAGACAGGGAAAGGAACTCAATGAATAATAGCAGAGCCCATCTACTGAGCAACTGACAGCGGGATACACACTCCACATTCAGCCTCAGAACAAGCCTGTGAAACAAATGACCTTGGAGAGTTCTCACTGCACCAATGTGCACCCACCTAACTAAAAATCCAGTTCAACCCGACTATACAGAAACACAGGTACACTTCTGATAAAATACAGGTGGGTCCAAGAGTAAAGATTTACTTTTTTTTTTTTTTTGAGATGGGAGTTTCGCTCTTGTTGCCCAGGCTAGAGTGCAATGGCGCTATCTCAGCTCACCACAACCTCCACCTCCCAGGTTCAAGCGATTCTCCTGCCTCAGCCTCCTAAGTAGCTGGGATTACAGGCACCCGCCACCACGTCCAGTAAATTTTATATTTTTAGTAGAGACAGGGTTTCTCCATGTTGGTTAGGCTGGTCTCAAACTCCTGACCTCAGGTGATCTGCTCACCTTGGCCTCCCAAAGTGCTGGGATTATAGGCATGAGCCACCATGCCCGGCTTACTTACTGTTTTTTTTTTTTTTTTTTTTTTTTTTTTTTTTTGAGACGGAGTCTCACTCTGTTGCCCAGGCTAGAGTGCAGTGGCCGGATCTCAGCTCACTGCAAGCTCCGCCTCCCAGGTTCACGCCATTCTCCAGCCTCAGCCTCCCGAGTAGCCGGGACTACAGGCGCCCGCCACCTCACCCGGCTAGTTTTTTGTATTTCTTAGTAGAGACGGGGTTTCACCGTGTTAGCCAGGATGGTCTCGATCTCCTGACCTCGTGATCCGCCCGTCTCGGCCTCCCAACGTGCTGGGATTACAGGCCTGAGCCACCGCGCCCGGCTGGCTTACTTATTGTTAATTAGGAAAACCAGAGTGGCTGTTCGGAGGTTCAGTGCCAATGAAGGTCTGGAAATACTGGAGTTGGGTGGGTGTGCAGGCTGTGGCAGACACCCAAAGGGGATGGGGGAGCTGGTAAATCTGAGCTGGGCGAGTTCAGGAGTTCGAGACCAGCCTGGTGAAACCCTGTTTCTACTAAAAATACAAAAAAATTAGCCGGGTGTGGTGGCAGACACCTATAATCCCAGCTACTTGGGAGGCTGAGGCAGGAGAATTGCTTGAACCCAGGAGGTGGAGGTTGCAGTGAGCCGAAATGGCGCCACTGCACTCCAGTCTGGGTGACAGAGCAAGACTCCGTCTTGGGAAAAAAAAAAAAAAAAAAAAAAAAGAAGAACTGCAATATCTTTAAACAATGTTTTCCTTGTATTTATGTGGTCCTGATTTTTTTCCTTTGAAAAAGTAGTTTTTCTCTCTACTAAAAAATACAAAAAACTAGCCGGGCGAGGTGGCGGGCGCCTGTAGTCCCAGCTACTCGGGAGGCTGAGGCAGGAGAATGGCGTGAACCCGGGAGGCGGAGCTTGCAGTGAGCTGAGATCCGGCCACTGCACTCCAGCCTGGGCGACAGAGCGAGACTCCGTCTCAAAAAAAAAAAAAAAAAAAAAAAAAAAAAAAAAAAAAAAAAAAAAAAGTAGTTTTTCAAAATAATAGCATTTCACATGTACTGAGTGCTTAGTATGTAGCAGGCATCATGCCGGACATAACCTCATCTAATCCCCACATCTAGCAGCCCTTCACGAGGCAGCTGGTATTATTAGTCTCACATTATAGGTGAGGAAACAGGCTCAGGTTATACGGCTTTCCCAAGGTCATCCTGGTCACACAGCTACTAAGGACTTGGAATTGACCCATGGTGTAGCATGTCTGGAGTCCAAGGTCTTACCTCCCTCTGCTATGCTGCTCTCCACAATAAACCTGTTGCCCTGCTGCTACATGACACCTTATAACAAATCCTGCAGACAGAACAGGATGTAACAAATCCTGTTCTCTAAGATCTGAACAAACTCATCAGCCACTCACCTTAGCCAACAAGAGGCTGAGTGTCTCAAGCAGAGCCGCCTTCACATTCCAGCTGAACCTGTCCCCCAGGATGCGGATCAGAGGGCCAGTAATGCTGACCACGGAGGGCCTAAGGGCGTCAGCCGAGGTCAGGCGGATCACCAAGCCTAAGGCTTTGGCTGCCTCCTCTTTCTGCTCAGGGCTACCGGTCAGGACTCCTTCCCGTAACACTGGAAGGATGGAGGTCACTCCCTGACAAGAGAACCACAACTAAGAGTCAAATCTCAAACACCCTGGGCCCCGGTGTCTCCCATGCAAGCAAGCTGGTCCTAACAGTTGTCCTCCCCTCAACTCCATGGGAGATAATGATTCGGGCTGCATCTCAGGATCACAGCCTGAGAGGGCTGGCTATGGAACAGTCTTGGCAGAAACAAGAAGACAAGGGCCCCAACAGGCCTATCACACAGACGGAACATGCACTGCTATTACCCTGTGGCCCACTCACTCTGGCCAAGGTGACCTGCAGAGCTTAAACCAAAGGCAGCATGAACCCTGTCCCCATCTGGCTGCCATGGAAGAAAACACGCTGTCTGTAAAGGTGCTGAAACCAACCACCACGGCTGCTGCTCCAGCTGCCCTACCGCAGACCTGGGACAGGGGTAAGGGCCAGAAGGGCACAGCAGACTGCATGCCCACAGCCCCCTGCACGAGGCCCTGGCTTACCTTCTTCGGGAGGCAGAACCCTGGCACATGCTCGCCTTTGCTCTCGTTCCCTATAAGCCGGATTTCCTTGTGCAGCTCTTCAATGAGTGCCAGCTGGTTGCCAGCATCCAGCTTCTGCAAGAATCCAGGAAAAAGCGAGAGGATGTAGAGCCCTCTCAAGACTGCTTTCAAAAAATATATGGGGAAAGCATGGGTGGGAGTATAAGCAAGACTCGCCATGAGGTGGTAAACGCCAAAGCTGAGTGACAGGTACGTGGGGGGATTCTTATAAGTCTATTCCAGTAAACGTCTGGAATTTTCTATAAGCAAACGTTGGCTGTGGGGCCAGCAGTCCCCTCACCTTAGTGATGGCATTTAGGGCATCCCAGCTCTCCTCCAGAACCACAGGGCTGGAGTCGTTGAATAGGCGGATCAGGCCCGAGACCAGGCTTCGCAGGTGGCTGGTGTAGTCTGCCTTCGAGCGGGAACAGTAGATGTTGAGGATGATGGCAGCAGCTTGCCTCATGCCCACCTCAGGGCTGCGGGTAGCCTCCAGCAGATCCTCAATGATGATCCGGTGCCCTGTGTCATCCTCTACGGAGAGGATCACAGCCTGACAATTGGCCATCTCCTGCAAACCACAAGGGCCATGTGTGCTGAGCAGGGATCCTCCGGACAGACGGGACATAAGAAGGCAATAGGAGCAGGCTTGCCCCTTACCAGCTGCTCATCTGGAGTCCCAAGCTTTTCCTTCAGGGCCAGCATGACCGCTGGGAGGATCACGCCAAGATGACGGGTGAGGGCATCACCAGCCACTGACGAAAGGAAAGCCAGCACCCGGGTGTTGACGGGTGGCGTTGTCAGCTGGTGGAATGACGAACATTAACTCAGTGAATACTGTGCCAGGTGCTGCGCTAGGCTCTGGGAACAGATGGGTGGGCAAGAGAGCCCAAGCCCACTGCTCAGAGCCAAGTATCTACTCCAGCATATCCTGGAGGACAACAGGGGAAGGGTGCAATGCTTGCACTGCACCCTCCTCCCCCAGCCCCCCAACATCTACGTTCAGAACTGGTGTTCACTGCAGGCCCTGGAATGTCAATGCCCTGGAGCCAGAAGGTGTTGACCACATGTTGGGATTTACCTTGGGCACGAGGTAGGGTAGCACCACACGACTCTTAATAGCCATGACTTGCTTCAAACCATCCAAGGCAAACTCTGACACCTCCTCATCATCCTGCAGAGGGTGGTGAGGACAACCCTGAGGAATCTGCATCTCTGCTGTCTCAACCAGCCACTGCCAACTTCCTTCTCCACTTGTTTCCCTCCCTCCTGTTGCACCCACATTTCCTCACTGTCAAAGACGAAGCACAAAGTCAAGTCTGATCTTGCTGTACCCACTCCCTCTGGAAGGCCCACATTCCGACTGCCTTGGCAGAATAATCGCCCTGCATTTTGCATCTACAAAGACAGCAAAAGCCAAACTGGTAGGTAGGTGTGTGGTAGATCCACTCACCAGCTGCTTTAGTAAAAATGGGAGAATGTCCTCCAGAGCCTGGTGGCCAATGGTGGAATGCAGCTGCTCGAAAGTCTTGGCTGCCGCCTCTCTGACCTCCTCCAGTGGGTCACACAAAGCCTTCCTTGCCGTAGGCACGAGGGATTCAGAGAAATACAGCACCTGCAATGGCAAGCTTTAACTGTACCAGATGCAGGAAAGGCAAAGAAGGAGCAGAAGCAGACAAGAAGCACAGGCACGGGACTCTGACCCAGCTAGGCCACCCTAACTCTCTTTGCCTGACTTGTCTTTTAGCTTAACTCTTTACTGTGAAATTTTTAAAAAGGAGAGAAGGGGCCGGACACGGTAGCTCATGCCTATAATCCTAGCACTTTGGGAGGCCAAGGCGGGCAGATGACTTGAGGCCAGCAGTTCGAGACCAGCCTGGTCAACATGGCAAAACCCCATCTCTACTAAAAATACAAAAATTAGCTGGGTGTGGTAGTGCACAGCTACTCAGGAGGCTGAGGCACAAGAATCACTTGAACCCGGAAAGCAGAGCCTATAGCCAGCAGAAATGGTACCCCCATACTCCTGCCTGGGCGGCAGAGTGAGACTGTCTTAAAATAAAAATTTTTTAAAAAATGAAAAAGTAGAGAGGGGCCAAGCACAGTGGCTCACGCCTGTAGTCCTAACACTTTGGGAGGTAGAGGCAAGAGAATCACTTGAGGCCAGCAGTTTGAGACCAGCCTGGGCAACATACTGAGACCTCATCTCTACCAAAAATGCAAAAATTAGGCAGGTGTGGTGGTGCACACCTATAGTCCCCAGCTACTCAGGAGGCCATAGCAAGAGGATCACTTGAGCCCAGAAGGTCAAGGTTACACTGAGCTATGATGGCACCACTGCACTCCAGTCTGGGTGACAGAATAAGACCCTGTCTCAATTTTTAAAAAAAAAAGCAGAGAGGATATGATGCACCCCCATGTATCCTTCACTGAGACTTAATAATCAACAGCTTGAATCTTTTAGGTGAATTCTCAATATACCTCCCATCTTCTCTAAGAACGGCAAACTCCTTCCCATGGCATCTGGCCCCCTCTCTCCCTGGACTCTTTCTTTTGCTTATTCTCTTGGAAAACTCCAAGTCCTTCTTCAAGTCTCAATCCAGACTTTGTGCTCTATGAAGTCTTGGGTCTACAATGGAGCCAATAATGGCTCTGCTCCCTCGGTAACGATTCCAGTACAGCAAACCCACCCTGCATTCTAATGACTGGTTGGCATGTGGGACTCGCTGCCGGACTGTGGGGACTTTGCAGGCAAGAACTCAGCCTCTGTGGAACTCTGCCTCTCCAATGAATCACAACTCTTTTTAATGACAGAATTTCTTTTGATTCCTTGCTAAATGTAAATTTTAAAAACCAAACGTAAGACAAACATCAATACAGGAGAGGAGGGATCCGGTATCCTAGGGATTCAGACAAGGATGCCCAAGCCAAGCAACTGGCTGCTCGCTTATATTTCTAGCGGGCCATCCACTTAACTGCTTTGGCGTTTTCATCTAAACACGAAGGCAGTGCCTATAAGCATTCCTAACCTACTCCCTGGGGGGGTCTCCAGGATCAATTACCTCAGGAACCAAGTAAGAGTAATGTACTTCACACCCCTTCGATGTTGCTGCTATGGAAACAGTATTGTTGCCAGACACAATATGCTTCCTCCCAGTGGGCACCACAACTCTTACCTGCTCCCCTCCTGCTAAGGGTGAGTGCACACCCCTCCCGCCCCCTCCTGTCCTACCCACTCACACAGCTGTCCACCCCCTCTCCCAGAAGGAGGTGCACACTTTTTAACTGCACTTATAAAGCATCACAAAAGGGACTGATCCCGAGCAACCTCCACAGTTGTGAGAGAGAGATCATCTCGTTTCCAAAGGCCACTCAAGGAGGCATCCAAATCACTTAGCTCTTAGTCTGCAAAACTGACAGAAAACCTGAGAAGACGGAGACTCAAATCCATGTGGCACAGAGTGAGGCTGACTCGTCCCTGAGGGCAGCGCAAACCCCCTAGGGGTGAAGCTCCTCCACTAACCATCCCCCGCCCTCTGGGTCAGGTCGCCTGCAGTCCTTGCAAGATACTCACGGCGTCCCGGCTGGTGGACTTCATGATCTCACTTAGCCCAATGCACACACCCTGCCTCTCGTCGCTCTTCTGAGACCTCAGGCCTTCCTCAAGGATGGGGATGATCTCGGGGAGGATTTTCTCCCCTAACTTCCGCACGAGATCTCCCAATGTTCTCGCTGCAATCTGTCAACAAAGACCAAGCCAGGAAGTAAAGTCCCTGCAAAGCCCAGGACACCTGGAGGAGGACTCCAGAATGAGGGCCCTGAAACCTCCCAGGCTTTATCTGAATCACTGACTTAACTTCCCCAAATGCTCTGACCGCTAAAGAGCCCCCAAATACTCTCTGTAGTGCTTGCAAAACACTAAAAAAATTATGTTTCTCACACACCTACACAACCTAACGTGAAGAGCCAGCACCTTACACATGAACAAAACAATTCATTTGCTGCTGCACAGTCAAGGGCAATTTCCCTGGATGACTGAAGCCTTAACACTGTGCCGTGGCTCAGCGCAAGCTGAATCTGGAACAAAGCTTTAAGGAAAAAAAAACCATCTACTTTCTGAGACCTCATGTAAACCCTTCTTTAGAGCCAAATACACAATTTGCTTACCAGGGATGGCCGTTGGAAGTAGGCCAAAGTAGATGGGCAGAAATGATCACCAGCCTGCCTGGGCACCTCCTCTGGGACCACTGATCTGTCTGCCCCTGCCAGCGCGCCAGCCTGATCTCATGCCACACTGCTCCTCCCTGCCTCCTCACTCCAGCCACACTGGCCTTGCTCAGCCCCTACTGGTGCTATGTTCCTGCCCACCACGGGACTTCTGCATATCCTGTCTTTGTATCTAAAGCATTATTTATTCCCTCTGTCTGGAATGGTCTTTCGCTACCTCCTCACCTGGTTAGTGCTTACTTTTCATCTTCAAGCATCATTTCTTCTGAGAAGTGTTCACTAACACAGGCCCATCCCTCCCCAGCAGGTCAAATGCAGCTATTATAAGCTTTGCAGTGCTACACAACACTGGCCACAATCGTATTTTACATCTCTTTGTGTGGTTAGCTGATTAATATCCATCTCCTTGACCAGACTATCTCTTACGAGGATAAGGAATGAGGCTGCCTTTCTTCTCCATTATGTCCCCAGGTGCTAGGTCTCTCTTAGTGCACAGTAGATGCTAATAAATATTTGCAGAGGCCGGGCGCGGTGGCTTACACCTGTAATCCCAGCACTTTGGGAGGCCGAGGCAGGCGGATCACAAGGTCAGGAGATTAAGACCATCCTGGCTAACATGGTGAAACCCCATCTCTACTGAAAATACAAAAAATAACTGAGCATGGTGGCAGATGCCTATAGTCCCAGCTACTCAGGAGGCTGAGGCAGGAGAATGGCGTGTACCTAGGAGGCAGAGCTTGCAGTAAGCCGAGATCACGCCACTGCACTCCAGCCTAAGCAACAGAGCAAGACTCCATCTCAAAAAAATAAATAAAATAAAATAATTAAAAAAATTTGCAGAATGACTAAGTAAAGAACACAACGTTCCTGTTAGGCAGGGTGTATGGGTACTTTCCCAGGCTCTGCAGATCCAGCTTTCTAGGCTCTGAAAGGAGGCACTGGGACTGCTGGTCCAAAACGAGGCCCAGGAAACTCACCGTTCTCTTATCTGCACACGTGCTGGCCAGGAAACCCAGCAGGAGCCCAAAAAGAGTAGGCAGGATCTCACGCAAGGTACGGGGGGTATTGGAGACAACAATCTTCCAGACATGCAGGGACGCCTGCCGCACCACCAGCTGGGTATCTGAGCGGCCCATGTACAGCCCTGCCAACACCCGGTTCCGCCGCTCTACCCCCAGGGCAGTGATGATCGCCTGCAGCCAGTGGAAGAGGACAGAGAACACAGAGTAGTGAAGCCTCTAGGGCACGGGCATCAGGGCACACCCTGCCATCAGCAGGGGCAGGAAAGCCACTGCAGGGCAGGCACCTTGTTAGACTGGGCAGTTCCAAAGTTATCATCCTCGGAGGCAGTTTCTGTGGTCATCTTCCCAGTGACTCCTGAGATGTGAAACAGGAGATCCCCAAGGAGCTGAACAGAGCTGAACCTGAGAAGGAGGCCAACAACACAGTCACACAGCTGCAAGGAGCGGGCTCGGCACAACTGAGCACTGCACAGAAGATGGAAAGAAGTGCACCCAAAATACTCATGACGGTCATCTTGGAATGGGAAGTCAGGCGGTTTTCATTTCTTTACACTCGCCCACATATTTTCCAGGTTTTCTACTAATGAACATACATTAATGTTGGGGGAAAAAAGTATTTTTAAAAAACGTAAAAATTTCTGTAACAAAGGTTATAAAAAATAAAGTGAGTACAAAAGGGGAAGCATTAACAGGCAAGTAGGAAGACTGATCATCAGAAGTGAAGGAACCAGGAGAGGCCTTAGAAGGATAAACTATTTCAGGCAGGGCGAAGTGGCTCACGCCTGTAATCCCAGCACTTTGGGAGGCCAAGGCAGGCGGATCACCTGAGGTCGGGGGTTCGAGACCAGCCTGACCAACATGGAGAAACCACATCTCTACTAAAAATACAAAATTAGCCAGGCATGGTGGCGGACGCCTGTAATCCCAGCTACTCGGGAGGCAGAGGCAGGAGAATCGCTTGAACCCGTGAGGCAGAGGTTGCGGTGAGCCGAGATCATGCCACTGCACTCCAGCCTGGGTGACAAGAGAGAGACTCCGTCTCAAAAAGGGGGAAAAAAAAAGACCACTGTATGAATGTGCTATATTTTTAAATCAATCTCCAATTTTTCAAATGGTAAGCGATACTGCAACAAACATCCTTATGTCTAACAGCTTTAAGCACTTGACCATTCAATACATCCTTGAAATATATTCCCAAAAGTGAAATTTTTAAAGAGTCCTTAACATTAAAATCTGAATACAAATTGGAAGCCTGTATAGAGAGGACTTTTTAAAAAAGAATAAGAATAAAGACATTGCTACAGGAAACTGGAAAAGTTACAAAATGGTTAAAAGCAAGGGTCTGGAAAAAGTTGAGAGAGTTCTTGGCAACATTCTGCTCTTCGTTTCTCAATTGGAGTTATCAAAATGCAAAGCATTTTTTTTTTCCCTTTTAAAGACAGCATCTTGCTGTTGCCCAGGTTGGAGTGCAGTGGCACAATCTCAGCTCACTACAACCTCCACCTCTGGGGCTCAAGCGATCCTTCCACCTCAGCCTCCTGTGTAGCTGGGATTACAAGTGTGCACCACCATTCCCAGCTAATTTTTTATTTTTTTGTAGAGACAGATTCTCACTATGTTGCCAGCGCTTATTGCAAACTCCTGGGTTCAAGCAATCTTCCTGCCACAGCTTCCCAGAGTGATCAGATCATAGGCATGAGCCACCACACATCATCCCCACTGGGACTTTCTGCCCAAGTTCTCACCTGATTCTCCAAAGGTCATCAAAGAGGCCTTGCTCTAGCTGGGGCAGCAGCAGGGCGATGGCTGTCTCAGCATACATGGAGATAACCCGCTGGCCCGCGCGCAGGGCAGTGTCACGCACAAATTCATTCTCATCAGCAAGAGCCTGGCCACACAGAGGGTGGGTCGGCCAGAGCTGCCACTCCCAGGCCCCCAACCCAAAAAATATGGGGCTCACCGAAGGCCAAGCGCTGTGCAAGCCGACCCCACCCAGCAGGGATCCCTAGCTCTCCAGGAGAGCACTTGCCTCCTGCCCTCCTGATGGACTCTACCCTTGCCAAGGTCATGGTACCTACTTTGAGGATACAGGGGATGATGGGCCCCACATAAGGAGTAAACTTGTCTCCAAAGGTGATGGGCAGGTAGTTAAACATCATAATGTAGCCATCTCGGACATGGGGTGCAATATCCACTTTGCTGGCTGTAGCCACGATTTCTGGCATCAGCTTCTCCAACTTCTCCACCCCTAAACCGGCCATGACCTCAGCCAACCCTGCAACAAAGGACAGAATGAGCCCACTGGATCTGAGGGCCCCTTATAGAGCATTCCCAGTCTGGCCACTGGACCTGCTCTGGCCTTACCCTGTGCAGCGCCTGAGCGATCCACAGAACTCTGCTCATAGGTCAGTGTCTCCATCAGCCACGGCAGCAAGTCCTCAAAGCACGACTCCCCCATGCCCTTCACCATGGCCCCAAGGGCCTTTGCAGATACCGTCCGCACCTGTCAGGTAACCGAGAACAGAGATGGTGTGAGAAGATGAGGCTCAAAACAAGGTAGCCACATGGGAGCAGGGAAGGGCACAGAGGGCCTCCTTCCCTTTATCCAACAGACACAAAAGCAGCTTTGGGGAATTCTCAGGAATCCATTTATGGGGACTGGATGAGGGGCCTGGCTCATCCTCCAGCCTACCTCAGACTCACCTCAGGCACAGGGTCCAAAAGCGATGCTTTCAGGCCAGGCGTCACGCTGGGCAGGTACGGAGCCAAGTCCTGCAACAACACGGGAGGTGGCTCAGGTGAGGCCCAACTCCTGCTTTCTCCAGGCCCATTCCACTGTGGACCCTAACCTCCCCATTCTGCTGGCAAGGAGTGCTCGGCAGGGGCACCTAGCATGCAAACCTCACTGCCCACAGAACAGGGAGGGAAGGGCAACTGGCAAGTAAGTCCTCTCCCCAACTGGTTCCTTGAAGGCCCTGTGCAATTGCTCAGGGACTCCTACAAGGGACCTCAGGCCCATCCTCAACAGACAGGAGTTCAATGCTCTTGCACCTCCCATCCTTCTCTTAGGACCAAGGCCTGTCCAACTCTGGAATCTTTAGCAAATTACTTCTGGTACTTTCCTTTCAGAATTTTTATTAACATCTTCCCTTTATTCATCTCAAAGTGTTTATGTCTCTCGATAGAACATTCAGCTTTAGGAAATAATTTTAAAAACAGAAAATGCCTTATGTTCACTGCAGCATCACTTAAAATAGCCAAAAACCTTGGACACTATATGACCAATGATAGAATTATGTAAGTTATGGTATATAAACTTGTCGGGATATTATGTAACTATTAAAAATCAGTTTTGTGAATAACTTGTTATAACTTGGGAATAAGTTTTAAGTTTAGGAATGCCATTTTTAAATGTAATTTTTTTTTTTTTTTTTTTGAGACGGGGGAGTCTCGCTCTGTCGCCCAGGCTGGAGTGCAGTGGCCGGATCTCGGCTCACTGCAAGCTCCGCCTCCCGGGTTTACGCCATTCTCCTGCCTCAGCCTCCCGAGTAGCTGGGACTACAAGTGCCCGCCACCTCGCCCGGCTAGTTTTTTTGTATTTTTTAGTAGAGACGGGTTTTCACCGTGTTAACCAGGATGGTCTCGATCTCCTGACCTCGTGATCCGCCCGTCTCGGCCTCCCAAAGTGCTGGGATTACAGGCTTGAGCCACCGCGCCCGGCCTAAATGTAATTTTTAAAATTAACAATAATTGGCCAGGCACGGTGGCTCACACCTGTAATCCCAACACTTTGGGAGGTCGAGGCGGGTGGATCACCTGAGGTCAGGAGTTCGAGATCAGCCTGGCCAACATGGTTTCACCCTGTCTCTACTAAAAATACAAAAATTAACCAGGCGTGGTGTGGGCGCCTGTAATCCCAGCTACTCAGGAGGCTGAGGCAGGAGAATCGCTTGAACCCAGGTGGCAGAGGTTGCAGTGAGCCGAGACTGTGCCAGTGCCCTCCTGCCTGGGCAAGAGAGTGAGACTACATCTCAAAAAAAAAGAAAAAAAAAAATTAACAGTAATTATTTTCATGGTGGGGAACTATGGATAAAATATTTTGGTTTTCTAATTTTTTTAATTAATTAATTTACTTTTTAAAACAGAGTCTTGCTCTGTCGCCCCAGGCTGGAGTGTGGTGGTATTATCACAGCTCCTGGGTTCAAGCAATCCTCCCATTACAGCCTCTCAAAGTCCTGGGATTACAAGCATGAGCCACCAAGCCTGGTCTGTTTTTCTGGTTTTTTAATTTCCCAAATTTTCTAGGATTAATATAACTTTTTGACTTTATATATTTTTTTGCCCACAGCCTCAGTAAGCAAAGCAGAGCTATGGTAGACAGTGAGACCACACACGCAAGCTCTTGGGAGCAGACAAACAAACAAAGCAAATCTCCCAAACCAGGCTCTCCTGACAAGAATACAGGCTCTCCTGAAGACAGGAGTATTCTTGCCAAGAGCAAGTAGTCCAAGTGGCAAGCACTTCAACACTCGTGAGAGGGCAAAAGAGAAGACATGCCTTTCTGAGCCTCAGCTGAGAACTAAGCTAACAAGGACTTGAACCACTGCACTCTCTAAGATGCTAAGAGAGCCCAGACTTCCACCCCAACATGGCTCACTTCTCTCCATAAAAATAATTAGGGACTAACGCCCTTATCTTTCCATGTCTAATGTGGGGACTCTGCACCTCTGACTCTGCACTCAGCCATTTTCTGGTCTGTCCCACACTAGCCCCAGCTGCGTTGCTACCTTCTGGTCTGTCAGGGAGTACATGTTGCCAATAATCTGGGCTGCCATCTTCCGCGTGTCCGTGGAACGGTCCTGGAAGGCTCTCTGGACAATGGGCATGATGAGGGCCAGGGATGGGGCATCAATGAAGTGGACGAACTTGGTGTCCAGCAGCGTCTGCAAGCACTTCTGGGTCTTTCTGGAGGGGTCCGTCAGGGCATCCAGGAGGACCGGGGCGATGGCTGTGCACATCCCAAGAGAAGAGAGCCTGGCTGATGCGCACCCATGCAGCAGCAAGGCCCTGGACCCCCGGAACTAGAATGGATCAGAAGAGAAGGGGGTCTGGCGCACCTCCTCCCTGAAGCCCCACAAGTCACCAGCTGGGGAAGACAGGCAACCCACAAAGAACAATCCTTCTTTCACTCCAATTCCTGACCTCAGGTGATCCGCCCGCCTCGACCTCCCAAAGCGCTGGATTACAGGAATGAGCCATGGAAATAAAATTTTTGTAAAGGATGTATCCTTAGTAAATTTCTGGTTTGCCCTATCGGTAATGGAGAAGTGTGCTGAAATCTCCCACTACAATATAATGTATTTGTTAACTTCTCCCTGTAGCTTTATGAATTTTGTTTTATGTATTTTGAGGTTATTCCATACTTTCCAGACTGAAGTACACTGACTGGGCGCTGGCAGGTGAAGCTTAGAATTTAACGAGTGACACGCTGGTCAAGGTGCCTGGCTGGGTTGTGTTCCTAGCGACTGACCTCTTCCCAGTACTAAGAAAGAACCACATCCAGAGAAGTCAGGTTAATCCTAACCCTTCCTTTACCCTCCGCTCTATCAAAGGCCTCCTGGAGTGAGACGGAATAGAAAGTTTTCATAGGCCCTAACACTTTGAAAGGTGCTGATGTGATCCAGAGAATGTCATTCAGTTCTGTTGACCTCATGCTCAGCTTCGTGCACAGGGATCTCTTGGAGTCAAACTGCTCCTGAGTCAATGACTCAATGTCCCTATCTGTATAGCCAATGACATCTGCCCCAAACCAGTGGGAAAACAGAATGAATGCTTCCAAACTACCTTCAAATAATTATTCTAGGAAAAGGGCTTCCCAGGATTTAGAGGCTATTTCACTGTGAACATAATTGTCCTCAGAGGCAAAGATCTTAGCTGAATGGGTGCAAGTTCCCTGCAGTGTCCAAAGGCCGCAGGGTTGGCAGGAGACCAGGGCAAGCACCCTCATGGCAGAGGCCTACCCAGGATCTCCGGGTTCCTGATGACAGAGCCGATCTGCCTGAGTGCCTGCTGTCCAGCCTTCTGGACTTTGACATGGGAGTCGGTCAGCACCTCCGTAAGTTTGGGCACGATGTTGGGTAGGCAGGACGACAGCTGCTTAGGAGCACAGTACGCCATTGCCCCAAGAAGCTCCACTGACCCTGTGGATAGCAGACACAAGCCCAGCACTGAATCACTGAGCACAGTCCAGCAACTCACCTGCGCTGGCTACATGGGCAAGGGACAGCTACCCTGGCCCCTGCAGACTGTGCTAAAGCAGTCACTGGGAGGAGGGGAGAGGGGGCTGGCTCTAGCAGAGGGGTCAAAAAAGCTCTTGCTGCCTGCTGAGCAGTGGGATCCCAGGTGAGGGGCAGGGCAGTATGGGAGAAAAGAGACCAGGATAGGGGAGACCTGATTTAATCCTTACAGTGAGATTCAAGACCAATTCACTGAATATCTCTCAACTGTTTCTTCATCTACAAATGAGGAAACTGATTTAGATTTGTGTTGTTTCAAACTACAGGGTGAAGTCTGAAGGACTGAGAAGGAGGCTGAGTGGGAGGGCCTTAGATGGTGATCCTCCCCCAACTAGAACAGCTCTACTTTTATCTGTTTGCTTAATAGGGTGCCAGGTATTTTAATTACTTATTTTTGAGACAGGGTCTCACACTGCTGCCCAGGTTGGGGTTTGGTGGCATGATGATAGCTCGCTGCAGCCTCAAACTCCAGGGTTCAAGAGATCCTTCCACTTCAGCCTCCTGAGTAGCTCGGACTACAGGCATGCACCACCACACCTGGCCTTTTTTTTTTTTTTTTTTGTAGAGGTAGGGTCTTGCTATAGTGCCCAGGCTGGTCTAAACTCCTGCCCTCAAGATATTGTCCTGCCTAAGGTTCTTTTTAAAAAGAGTTTTCCTGGGGGGGAAACTTTAAAGCCACAGAAGAGCTTTACAGCTCTCGGATTCCTGACTTAGGGTTGTGGCTCTTGTCAGAGGCCTGTATCTTGGTATGAAAGCACACAAACTATAGAAAGATCCAACTGCCAGAGGGAGAGTTGGCCAGGCATGGTGACTCACAACTGCAATCCCAGTGCTTCGGGAGCCCAAGGCAAGAGGATCACTTGAACCCAGGAATTCGAGGCCAGTCTGGGAAACACAGCGAGACTCCATCATTACAAAAAAAAAATACAAAAATTAGCCAGGTGTGGGGGCGTGCTCCTGTGAGAATGGTTTGAGGCCCAAAGTTCAAGATCAGCCTAGAGGACAGAGCAAGACTCCATCTCAAATGTTAACAAAGGCAATCTTAACCCTATCCCTGGCATGGGGAACTCACAGGACAAGAGCTGTGGCTACCCAGGATCCTTGCTGAGGCTGGTTTTCACAACATGAAGCTGGGAAGAGAGACAGAGGGAGTAGTCTTACCAGCTTTGGTCCGCCAGGATTCCTCCTCCAGGGCAGCCAGTAAGGAGGGGAGCACCAGCTTCACTCCGTGAGCACTCAAGTTGCTCATCACAGCCTTGGCACAGTCATCTGCAGCCTCAAGGGAGGAGAAAAGACGTTCAGGGGCCTCCTCGCCCAAGCAAGGGGCAAGCCTGACACCAGTCCTAGTGTTCCTCCTGTGACTAGCGCTTACTGGGGTTCTACTATGTCAGACCCTGTGCCAAGGCCTGCAAACACAGTTGGGAACACATCTCATAAAATGTCGATGCTGTTCTCCCAGGCAGTCTGGGGACTTACCTCACGCACATACTGGTTTCCATCCCCAAAGCACAGGAGCAGATGGGGCAGCACGTGAACCACGTACGGCTCAAAGAGCTTCCCCAGCATGGTGCAGAGCATCTCAAAGGCAAAGAGGGCTCCTAGGGGAAAAGAAGGTGGGACGGCTGGGAAGAGAATGTCCCCTGGGGGTAGCCACAGAGAACAGAAGGGACAGCAACCTCCCTGCCACCTCCCACCCCTCTAGAAGCAGGACAGCCGTGGGACTAGTGGCTGCCCCATGAGGAAGCAGCACCCTCTGCCTCAGCTCAAGAAGCCCTAGAGCAGGAATGTGGCTGGGCGGAAGGGAGGACAGTGCAGGGGAGCCGCCTTCACTTCTTGGCACTAACAGTTAGAAAAGCCAAACCTCGGCAGGGCACGGTGGCTCAAGCCCATAATCCCAATACTTTGGGAGGCTGAGGTGGGCAGATCACGAGGTCAGGAGATATAGACCATCTTGGCCAACATGGTGAAACCCCGTTTCTACTAAAAATACAAAAATCAGCTGGGTGTGGTGGTGTGCACCTGTAATCCCAGCTACTAGGGAGGCTGAGGTAGGAGAATCGCTTGAACCCGGGAGGTGAAGATTATAGTGAGCCGAGATCGCGCCTGGTGACAGGGTGGGACTCGGTCTCAAAAAAAAAAAAAAAAAAAAAAAAGCCAAACCTCTCTCAGCTAAGGGTGTTGCTGAGTTAGAAATTTCCAAGTCCATGGAAAGCAGCAAGGACCCGGCTGGACTGGGTCACACACAGCAGGGCCCTCCGTAGTACACACACAAGCAGCAGCCTCCACCTGGGGTGCCAGGGTCAGATTCCTTCCTCTGGCAACCTGGGGACCGACTTCCCATGCTGGGCAGCCCCAAGCTCAGAGATGCTCACCCTCTCGCCGGCGGAAGTTCTTCTTATCCTGGATGGCATCAGTCAGTGCTGCCATCATCTCCTGTTGCTTCAGCGAGAGGATGCCCAGGCCCTTCACCAGGCCCGCCAGCCCATACGCGGCCCCTTTGCGCTCTGCGTACTTGTCTGACTCCAGGAGCTGCTGCATGAGCCTCTGGATCATCCCTCCAGCGTCCTCCTTGATGGCTGGCACAAGGGGTGGCAAACAGCTGGCCACGGACTCCTGGACCTGAGGAAGGGCCTGCCTGTCAATGCTGTGGCTCTGCTGCAGCAGTTTCATGGGGTCTGACCATCCTACACAGCACCCACTACTATATGTCCCACGCCCCATCTCAGCCACTGCCTGCAGGTGTCACAGGACACCAGAGAAGCAAACAGGCACACACCGTGTTGTATACCCCTCGGGGTGCATACTACAATCTGCTGACGACAAAAGCTTCAGCCCATATAGTGCCATTTCTGGTCTGAATGGAAAACCCAGGCCTGGGCAGCGGGGTAGGCAGTCAAGGAGCGGACTCTAAAGACTAAATCCACTCAGAAAGAAAGCTTCCAGAAAAGTGTGCTGCTTTGCTTCCATAAAAACAGCCCGTGTCTCTGTTTCCAAACTTGTCAAAATCACAGAGAAATTGGGCAGGGCCTTATAGGACCAGGCACAAATTGAGTGGAACCAGAAGACACTTAATCCTGCCTCCCAGCCGCAGCTCACTAAGCCCAGCTTGGGAGCAGCAACCCTGATGCCACGCTGGCAGGTGCCCAGATGCGACTCTTTTGCTGTTTGGGCTTTCTGACACCGTATTTGACCACAATTTTGGAAACTGGTTTTCAACTGTGCATTCTGTTTTTTGTTTTGTTTTTAGAAATAGGGTCTTACCCTGTCACCCAGGCTAGAGGGCAGTGGCACGATCCTCATTCACTATCACCTTGAATTCCTGGACTCAAGCAATCCTATTGCCTCAGTCTCCTGAGGAGCTAGGAACACAGGCATGGCCTCCACCTCTGGCTAATTTTTAAAGTTTCTGTAGAGACACGATCTCACTATGTTGCCCAGGCTGGTCTTGAACTAGTGGCCTCAAGCACCCACCTCACCCTCCTAAAGCACTGGGATTACAGGCATAAGCCACCACGCCCAGACCAACTGTTCATTTTATGAGGATACTCTAAGTGGTCCAAAACCCAAACCACAAAAAAAAAATATATATATATATATATAAAAAGATATATATATATGCATGTTTCTCAAAACAAAGAAAAATAAATTTCTTTGCACTGTAGCTTAGAGGCTACATTAAAATGCACCTGCAACACATAATCAACACATGTAAAGGGCCAGGGAAAGGCTTGACATAAGACAAAGCCTGATCTTTTATTTTTTTTTTCTCCTTTGGATCCTCAGTGCATGTTAGTGAATAGAAAAAAAGGAACTATCTAGGAGGTCTATTAGAACAAAGTAACAAAGCAGCTCCCTCCCCAGGGGCATTCTTGACTATAAACCAGGTGAGTAGAAAAAAATGAAACTATCTGGGAGGTCTACTAGAACAAAGTAACAAAGAAACTCCCTCTCCAGGAGTGTTCCTGACTATAAACCAGGCTCTCCCCTGGGAGAACGGGTGAATCCTTACCAAGAACTGGGCTTTCCAGGCCCTGACTGTCTGATTCCTCCCCTAGTATCCCACTGCCTAACCAGAGCCGGGTCCCAATTCTCTAACTGGTATGTGGGTCCCAGGTCAAATGGCAGGTACCTGCTGGGAGGGGGTAGAGAGGGCAGCGATGAGCTTGGCAACAATGGGCTTCACTTTGGGGTCACTCTTGTCCAGGTGCTTGGCCAGAGAGCCCATCAGGACCACCACACTCTGTCGCACAGCATCGTAGCTGGCATCATTGGGCGCGTTCTTCAGGAACTCCTCGAATACTGGCAACAGTGAGTTGACGTTCTCCTGGAAAGCCAAACCCCTCAGAGCCTCAGGTCAAGCCTATAGGCTGCATTTGGGGACAACAGTCCCTGCCCTGAGGACCAAGACCAAGTCTAGCTCTGGGACAGGCATCCTGACATGCCAGCCAGCGGCTCTTCCAGTTTTCTGGCAGGACTGCTACAGACTTAAAAGAATTTAACATACTATGGTGGTCTTTTTGGCTCAAAGTGCTCTGCCAGGACTCCTGGCACTCAGCATCTCTGGCCCCTGCTCAGCCCTAGAGCCTGCCTCCCCTGTGTCTCCTTAGCAGGCTGGGACCCCCTTACCTTCCCGTGGGTGTTCCCCGGCGGGGACCCCCTTACCTTTCCGTGAGTGTTGAGCGTTGCGAGGGCTGCATCCAACATGCACTTCCGGACATCTGGGTGTCGGTCATTGAGGGCATCAGGGACAAAAAATTGAAAGAGTGGCTTCACCTGAGAGCTGTCCAGATACTGGGAGAGCTTGTTGAGGGCCAGTGCCAAGCCACACCTGGGAAAGAAGTGGGAGCACATCAGGAGGGACAGCTAATGGGCCTCCTCCGCCAGTGGAACCTCTGCTGGTGCATGGCAAGGACAGGGAGCTTGCCTGAGGTAAACACTGTTTTGCGGGCAGAGAACAGCATGAAGCCCACCACCCAGCGCTCACCCAATGTTCTGGAACAACCCGCTTGTCATATGGGGACCTGCCATCTGCCCTGATTTTACCTCCTAATGGGTGAGCAGCCCTGCATCGGTTCCCTCAGAGAGGAATATGAGTGCAGTGCTCACCCCTCTACCTGCAAGGCAGGTCGTAAGAGAAGATAGAGGTAAAGGAACCAGATGCAGAGGCCTGTGGAAGTGAACACACTCTCCAAGGGCAAAGTGGTATTATTCTTTCCAGTCATGGAGCAAAGAATCTGTGTCCTATCCCTGGCTGATGGTCTGGAATGAAAAATAAGCCAGGATGGCCCATACACCACCCTACACTGACACACAAGGCCTCATGGAGTGGACATGGCCAGGACGAGCCATTCAGAAAACTAACACCCTCGCCTATTTTGTGCCTGCTCTGTGGGAGGCAAGCGTCTTTCAAGGTCCCACTTGCTCCCAGACATCTGTCTAATCCTCCAACTGCTACTCATGGGCTCTGTGGAGAAAGGCTGGTAGCTTCTGTTATTGTGCCCTGCATACAGATGGGGAAACAGAGGCCTGGGGAAAAGGAGAAACATGCTCACAGTCACGCAGCTAGTGCAGGAGGGGCCAACACTTGAACTCACGCCTCCCTGACTCTGAGGGAGGTCCTGCTCTTTCATTATCCCATGCTGCCTCCTCTCAGCACCCACCCAGCCAACATACCACATCTGAGAGAGGATGGAGGAGAACGAGGCTAGAACAATTGTTATACCTGGCTTCCCACTGATCTGGAGGAGATTCTGAAATAACTCGTCCCAAAGCATCCAGCACTGGGGGTGGCCGCTGTAACAGACAAGTTGGTAAATGTTTTGCAACGGGCAGATCAATGACCTGGGCTCCAGGACTGTAGGTGGGAAACTAGCCACAGCTACCCTGAGCCACCGTGAGCCCTGAGATTCCTGTCTGGAGCAGTAGGGGGCTGAGCAGAGACCCACCCAACCGCGCACACCCCAGACTGCATCAGGGCTGCACAGTCACTCACATAGAGCTTCTCCTGGTAAATCTCCATGAGCCTGCCCATAACCTCCGCTGCCTGCCGCTGGTAACGTGCCACTGCTTGGGAAAGGGCTTCGGCCCCCGCCTGCCTTACAGCCGCCTCATGATAGATCACGTCATCGATCAGCAAGGAGCAGAGGTCTGGCTGCAGGTCTAGGCCCATCATTGACCAGAGCCTGTGGGAGATGCACAGTGGGGACTGCTTAGACAACGATCTGCAGCATCTGTCCCGCCAGCTCAGCCCCTCGCCGGCCCAGCCCCCCATCGGTCCAGCCCCCCGCCGGTCCGGCCCGTCTTCCCACTGGAGGCTGAACACGCTGGGTTCCGTTATTTCCTAAAGGAAGAGAGGATGGAGCAGGAGAAAACGACATGCTGGCTCTCCCACCTCTCAGCCAGCTTCCGGATCTCCTCTTCCTTGTCAAACTTGACCACCCAGAGTCTCCGCAGAAGGTTCAGGCCATTCTTCTCATCGGTATCAGGTGCTGGCAATACCATGTGGAGTTCCATCAGCCCCTGGAAGGGGTGGGATTGGACCACGTGAGGCACCATCTTTCCGAAGAGCCTCTGACTTGCCTCCTCACCTCTCTCTAGGCTGTACAGTCCAAGATGGAGCCACTAACCACAAGTGGCTAAAGTGAAATCAATTAAAATTAACTCTAAGTTCCTTAGAGTGTGAAGTGGTAAAATGTTTTTTAATGTGAAAATTAAAACGTTAAATAAACCAGACAGATAAAACTTCAGAAAAAGTGTGTTCCTTTAGTTCAAATAATTTTTGAGGAAAAAGTTACCATATTGTCATCATTTTTCACATTTTACCAAAAGCCAGTGAAAACTGTCACATATCAATAGCAGGAGGCTATGGATCAGCAGGTAGGAACCACTGTCTTACCACTCCAAGGGGATGCTCTAGTTTTTGGTCCAAAAGCCATGAAAAAAAGCCAAGTACATGGCAACGGGCTAAAGAAATGAACTCCTCCTGCAAGTTAGGTCTGTCTGTGGAAGTACTAAAGTCTACATTCCAGTTTAAAAATTAAGTGGGCCGGGCGCGGTGGCTCAAGCCTGTAATCCCAGCACTTTGGGAGGCCGAGACGGGCAGATCACGAGGTCAGGAGATCGAGACCATCCTGGCTAACACGGTGAAACCCCGTCTCCACTAAAAAATACAAAAATACTAGCCGGGCGAGGTGGCGGGCGCCTGTAGTCCCAGCTACTCGGGAGGCTGAGGCAGGAGAATGGCATAAACCCGGGAGGCGGAGCTTGCAGTGAGCTGAGATCCGGCCACTGCACTCCAGCCTGGGCGACAGAGCGAGACTCTGTCTCAAAAAAAATAAAATAAAATAAAATAAAAAAATAAAATAAAATAAAATAAAAAATAAAAATTAAGTGAAGTGTTCCAAGGTAAAGGAAAAAATACAGTGATACATCATGACTGCTTAGTTTTATGATTCTCAGAGAGACCCCAACCAAGTGACCTCTTCTCTTTGCCTCTAGGCCTCCCGCCAGGGTGAGGGACATTCTCTTAAATGCTCATCATGCAATTTGCACTTGCATAGAGTGACAAGGGACACTGCAGAGGCTCTGTGAGAGACTGAGCACACACCCGGAGCACGGTTTCCCGCACGCTGGCACACGGGGACTGCAAGGCACAGAGCAGCACGTCCACCTCCTCCTGCTCTGCAAAGGCACAGCCATCATCACCACTGCTGCTGGCACACAGGGTAGTCAGGGTGTCTGAAGCCAGAACCTAAGGAAAACACCAATCCACTGGTTCAGTCAGCAAATGGGGCCAGAGAGGGATATGCACTGAGAACGCCCACCCCTACAGCACTGCAAGGGCTAAGACCCCAGCTCCAGTGGCAAAACCCCTCACTAGCTAACAACAGTCAGGCTGGCTCTCTAAAGCAGTCTTTCTACCAAAGTCCAAAAGTGAGGGCTGAAAGGAAACTAGGACTCCACCCTTTATACTGGGACCTGAGGTCTGGGTCACAAACTGAGTCACAGCAACAGCCAACTGAAAACCAGGTCACCTGTAAGCGGGGCGAGCCCGTCCCGATCACCCAAGTCAGAAGACGCAGCATGGCCACTCGAGGCAGCAACTCTGGGCCATTCTAGGAAAGAACGGCAGGTAAGTCAAGATGAGGCTGTGGGGAGGTCTGTAACCCAGGCGGCCAATGACAGGGCATCCCCTCACCCACAGGGGAACATTCTGGATCATACCGGCCCCACCATAGAAACCTCAGTAGGTTTACAGTTAGGTCCACAGGTGCTAACCCCAGTCAACCATGATCCTCAGGAACTAAAAACTAAATTCTGAAACTTGCTTGAAATTCACACTACGAAACCCAGAAAGACCATAAACATATGAAGAGACATTCAACTTTGTAAGAAATGCAAAATAAAATGAGATATCATTCTTTCACCCATCACTGACAATATTAATACTATCCGAGGTTGCATTAGGCTTTGAGAAAAAGAAAACTCTTGGTGACAGTATAGCTCAGAATATGCCATATAATCTAGTAATTCCATGCCCAATGAACCTGTCCTAAAGAAACGCTCACACTGGGTAAGTAAGCGGCATATATATACCAGAGGGCACATCACAGTGCTGCTCAAAACAGGGAAAAGTTAGAAACAACCTTAAGATACTCATCAACAGGTAAAGAATTAAGTAAAACATGATACATCCATAGTGCAGAATCTCATGCAGCCAACAAATTCAATCAGGTGGACTGATATGCAATGGGATGGCAGGAGAGCCAGAGTCTATAGTCACGTGAAAGCAGCAGTCTGACCCGTTTTTGCCTTGAAAAACCCACAACACTGTGTGAGGCTGCTGTTGGTATAAACATACACCCTCTATTTCCCCACCAGAACTGTTCATGAGACAGAAAGTGTCCACAGGCCCTGCCTCCCTCATCTCCTTTAAACCAAGGGGAGAGAAGAGCTTCCTTGCCAACCTCGTCCACTCGCCCAGGTGGGGTGCTGGGGGAGGCCCTCAGTTGGGCGTGGACAGTGAGGATCTGAAGAATCTGGGCCATCCGCTCCTCCTCCTCCTCACTGTGGTGGGACATCTCGGTCAGCACCATCTTCAGAAACGGGAAGACTAAGGAGAAGGCTGGCGCAGACAAGGGCGCAGCACCTGTGAGAGTGAGAAGCAGATAAGATCCTGCAAGCAGGGCAGGGACCCAGGCCACTGCTGCCTATTTCCATCCTCAGGGAAGGTAGGGAAGAGATGGGCCAGAAGCCCGTTCTGACACCTGGAAGCACAGGGCACGAGGACGGAGACAGCAGCTGGTAGTCCAGTCTAAAACCAATTCTGCTACTACTGCCAAACACTTCCCAGTTCCAGGATGTGAGCATTAAAACAGAGAAGGGGACGCCAGTGACAAAAAGTAAACACTCAACTGGGCTCACAGCAACTCACAGACTACCAGGGTTCAACTCAGAAATTCTCCAGCTGGTCCAACCCCCCAAGGATCAGGAGGCCCTGGGTGACGCTGTGCCTCGAGCAGCATTCCTGGCACCAGCTCACACCGCCTGGTGCCCCTGATCCCGTCCCAGCCCTTACCTGGCTCCCCCTTGCCCACCCTGCTGGTGATGGTGTGGGTGTGCAGCAGCGTCACTGCCCTCTTCACAGCCACCGACAGCTCTTCCTGGCACCAGGACTTATCCAGGACACACTCTGGCTTCAGCAGGCGCAGGGTTACGTGGCTCACCAAAGTGCCTGTGTTGAAGAGGAGAGACCCGGCAGGGGATGATACACACAGAGGTGCAGAAACCAGCCCAGGTTCAAACAGGGGACCCAGTGCCTCACCCTTCTGACTTAAAAAAATCTGCTTCGCCAAAATGTCCCCAACCTAATTTCTTACTTGATCTTTGTGACAACCTCAGAGGGCAGGTAGGAACTCCCTTTGGACATTCAAACAATGACTACGCTGACAGGGGACAAGGGCCACCGGAAGGGTCATTCAGCCAAGAGTACAGCTCTATCTGTGCAGCACCTCCACCTCTAAGCAACAAGCCCAGACAGCCAGGTGACACTTCTGGCAGGTTCCATACGCACCAGCTGACTTCCACTCAGACCAGTTCCCAGATTCTGGCCTCACTCATGGGAACATCCTCGTTAGGTCAGGATAGAAGTCTGCTAAAGGCCATTAACCAACCCACAAAAGCAAGGCCATCAGAACTGCCAGCCACCCTGCCTGGTGTTTGTTTCTCCAGAGCTAACAGGAAGCTAAAGGTCACAGGGTCCTCTGTTCACTGCTGTCATGTGGCTGCTCAGACCTGGGCTGGGCTGAGCCACCACACTGCACCAAACCATCCTCGCTGCCACTGAACTTTTGACTTCTTAGTTTTAAAACTGGTACACAAAGATCGAACACTGACTAGCATCTAAACTCTGCTCCTCAGAGGGAAGGCACAGATGTGAAGAGGGAGAGAAGAGGAGGCACCACGTCTCTCCTAAGCACATCCAGCTTGAGCCTCCAAGGCTGCTTCCACAAGAAAACAAAACTCAGCAGCTGAGGTCACCACCCACCTCCCCACAAGCACTCAGGGGCACCCCTGGACCATCCCTGCAGCCAGCAAACAAGGACTAACCCAAAGCCTTGAGCCTAGAGGGCATGACACAGGCAGCCAAGGACAAGAAGGGGTTCTTGATCCTGGGAGCAGCCAAGGGAGACTTCAGCAAGGGCAGGAAAGAGTCGACCAAAACAGGGATGTACTGGGTCAGGCTGGATGGGTTCTTGACCAGGATGATGTCCAGCAGTCCAAGCGCCGCCTCCAGCTCCCCATCCAGCTGCAAGCAGAGTTGCCCAGGAGGCAGGTCAGCAGGGTCCTGCTTGTGACAGCAAGGAGCGGGACCAAGCTACCCAGCACTCTTCCGGCGTGAGTATGTGGCGGGGGTGGCCACTCACCTCTTGCAGCCGCCTCCGGACCTGCGCCTCCCTGTCCAGCTGGGCCTGCAGCATCTCCTTCTGCTTGCTGGTCAGCTGCACCTCCTCTTTGATGCCTTTCTTCTTCTTTATCTCCTGAAGGGGATGGGCAAACCAACCAATCTCATCTCCAGGGAACAGACCTCCCTCCCCCACAGAGGAAGGTGAGCTTGCTTCCACACAAACAGCACCACGCCAGCTCTAAGTCTGAGTTGGGCCTCTGAACCCACCATGTGCACCCCCAACCTCCCACAAAGTCCATAGCCACCTTGTTTCTATAGAATGGAGACAGCAATAGAGAAGTAAGCTCTCCCACAGGGTAAGCTGAGCCTAGAAAAGGCCTGCTATAGTGGCCTGAAACAACAAGCCACAGAACGAACTCACTCCTTCAGCAAACATTTAGTGAGCACCTGCATTGTGCCAGGCACTGTTCCAGACGGCAGGAATACCGGAGGGAACAAGATCAAGTCCCTGCCCTCACGGAGCTCACAATCTAGCCAGCGAAGATAGACAATAAACAAGTAAACCAACACATAAACCAGATGCTTTTGAGTCACGACGACTGTTAGTAAAGAAACAAATATGATGCTTAGTCACAGGGAGGAAGGGCGGAGTCTACTTTCGATAGAGTGGACAGGCTGGCCACCTCTCTGAGAAGGGCACATGTGGACTGAGATGTGAAAGACAAGAAGAATCCTGCCTTGTGAAGACACAGAGAAGGGCCAACGCTGAGACAGGAAAGAGTCCTATATGCTCTGCTCCTGTCAGAACCCGCTCTGCCCAGAGCTGAATTCAGCAATCAAGCCAGGATTACCCAGAAGTCCCACTGTACCAGGCGCTGTGCCTACTATCACGAGTCTAGATGGGTCCCAGCCTTTAAGGAAGGTGGGGGACAGACATGGAATTCAGCAACACCACTTAGCAGAGGAGACATGTGCACTGCCGCCAGCACCCAGCAGAGGAAGAAGCTGGATTTGAGTTGTGGGTGGAAGAAGCTATGGAGCAAGGGTGAAGGGAGAGTGTGCCGGTGCACCAGACACTGGTCAGAGACATCAGAGGAGTGTGCCATGGGCCTCAGAATGATCCAAGTGAACAGCATATATGCAGTGGGAAAAGCCACCAGCCTGAGGCCACCAAGCTCAGCAGCCACCTTCTGCGAGTGCCTTTGTGTACTCACCTCCTTCAGCTCTAGCTCGATGATCTGCTCTTTGAAGGAATAAGCTTTGTTCTCTCGCTTCATGTTGGCCTTTTTTATGCTGTCCTGCTGGGCACTGAAACACCAGAGTGGGTCATCAGCCAGCATGAAAAGAACCGCAGCCTGTCAGTCTCCCACCAGCCATGAAATTCCAACTAGCTGTTAAGGACTGTGCGCCAGCAAAGTGCCGGATACTGGACACACTTTAGTACCCAGGACCTAAGCACCATGCCGGGGACACAGCAGGCCCTTAGCCAATGAATGGATAGGCTGTTGCATTCGACCTACAAGAGGCGCTGGCTCCATCCTACACGCATTCCCTTGGGGAGCAAAGGAAACCGAGCCCACAAGTGAGGTCTCACCTCTGGATGATGGATTTGTCATACAGCTCCCCAGCGGGGGTCTGCATAATGGCAAACTCCTCCCGCGTCACCAGGCGCAGTGCAGGGTTCTGCACGGAGGCGGTGATGGTGCTGATGAGCTGTGGGAGGACCCGGTCCGGTGACAAGATGGAAAGGGAGCCCATGGCGTTCATGGAGGACTGCCAGACAAACGCAGACATGGTCAGTGTGTGCCAAGGCTGGCACTGGCAAGAGGTCCACCACACCTGAATGCCCCTGGCACTGGCTCCCCTTCTTCATGCCACTGCCTTGTTACTCCTGGGCACTGTCCATCACACCGGCCAGCTGGAGTCTGTGTCTGCTTTCCTCAACGAGCAGTGCCCCTCTGTCTGACACAGCACCTGACGTGAGGCGATACACTCCTTCCCAATTCTTAATCTCTGTGGTTCAGGTGGAGCTGCCCTCACTTTTTTCAGAGGTAGGCATGTGACCCAGAGCAGAAGGAGGGGCGCAGAGATGAGCATGGCTCCCAAGTCAGATTAATCAGGGTCAAAGCGACCCCAAGCCAGTAGACATTATTGAAATATGCAAGCTCTTCCCCCAGGAGCTGATGGGGAGACAAAGCCTGGAACTTTAGCGGCTCTTGTGCTACCAGAAAGGGAAAGCCTGAGAATGGAGCCCACATCGTGGAAAACAGAGCCAAGAGACAAAGATGGATGGGACAGAGTAAGAGAGACATCACCTACAATGTCCCAAGGGCAACATCCGAACCCCTATAGTCAGCATTAGCTAAAGCCATGTCATATCCTTGGACTTTGCAGGTAAATGAGGCAGTAAGTTCCCTTTTGTGCTTAAACCAGTTTACATTTCTGTCACATGCAAGGGTCCAAGCCTACATTTTACCCACCTTCACCTGCTTCTTTGAATCCTCTCTTCCTATACCCTGTGATGAGAGGGCCCCTCCCCGACCTGAGGCCAGACCAGCTCATGTGCCCATCACCTGGTTTAGGGGACTCTGAGTGGTGATCCTGGGAATGATCTGATCCAGGTGCCTGGTGATAAAGGCTTCAGGATCGATCTTCATCCTGGCAAGAAGTGCTGGCCAAAGTCCAGACTGCACAGCCACTGAAGGGGAAGGGAGCTCTTTGAGGCCTTCTGCCTGGCCTGCTCTTACCCCATCCCCTAAAGCCCCAGGCTTTCCCTCACCCACCGCAGCCACAGACCTAAGGATGGGTGGTGGGAGATGATCAGCATCTCCTGGGCCAGTTGTTCAGTGTCAGTGACATCACCCTTGAGCCCTGGCACACTGGAGATGACACACAGAGCCTCCTGCAGGACCCGTGGAGGAACGTAGGCCTTGCCCGCCTCAGTCACCTCTCCAGCATCAGTCACCAGAGCCTCTAAGGGCAGCACCTGTGTAGAGACACGTAAGATAAAACATAAGAACCCCACTGCTAAGAGCCCTGTGCAGGCTTGGAACACAGGAACCAAACATGCCACGGACACAGTGGCTCCTCACTCAGTTCTTCCCTGGGGTCCTTGCTGGAGTGGAGATGGATACCCAGCTTCCTGCAATGGGACCCACAGGCTGTGAGATGTGCCTGGAAGAAGGAAGCACCTGTGACTTTGCATCTAAAAAGCCTACGGGAGTAAAGAAGGCAACAGGAACTGGTCCAGGAGACCCAGCCTGTGACGGCAAGTCTGTCACTGGCCCACATTCCTCAACAGGCATAGGGAGGAAGGAAAGCAGGGGAACACAGCACAAAGAGCACAGAAATAAGATCCAAGTCTTTGGAGGTCTCCCTCCATCGGGGGAGACACTGTGCAAGTCATTTGAGTTCCTGGAACCCCGGTCAATTCACATGACACAAGAATACCAAGCTCTATTTGCCTTTGAAAGGCATTGTTTAAAAAAAAAAAAAAATCAAAAGAAAAAATGGGTAGAAAATGCTTCAAAAGTACAAAGTGCTTTAAAAACATAAAGTATTATTCAATTAATCAAGCATAAAGGGGGAGGGCACGGTGGCTTGTGCGTGTAATCCCAACACTTTGGGAAGCCGAGGTAGGAGGATCACTTCAGACTAGAAGTTCGAGATCAGCCTGGGCAACATGGCGAGACCCCATCTCTACAAAAAATAAAAAATCAAAAAATTAGTGGCCACTATAGGTGGTGTGCACCCATAGTCCAAGCAACTTGGGAGGCTGAGGTGGAAGGATCGTTCGAGCTTGGGAAGTTGAGGTTGCAGTGAGCAAAACAAAACAAAACAAAAACCCAAAAGACCCTGGAAAAAAGGTTAAGAAGCTACATGTGGAAAAAAAGTCTCTGAAAAGGAAAAGGAATCCTATGAAAGATGTTACTGGAGCTCAACGGCAGAGCAGAAGATGCTGGCATCACACAGAGTAAGAAAGAACAGTCAGGGAGTGGCCCAGCCAAAACCCCACAGCATAAGCAGTGGCAGCTAAGTGGATCCAAAAGCCCCAGTTCTAGAGCCCAGATGCCCTCACCTTGTGAGAACTGAGGACAGTCTTCAGCTCCTCCAGGAGTCCGTGCGCCAGCTTAAAGCCCCCAAGAGAGGATAGCAGCTTCCGAACCGTCTGCTGAGCCTGCCTGCGGACGTGCCAGGTGCGGCTCAGGAGCACTGCGACCAGAGCCCGGTGGTACTGCCTACAAGCACAGGGACAGACAGGTCTGGGGGAAGGCCGGGAGCAGGCCTTCCACAGCCAACCCTTCCACCTGCCACACACCCTTTCTCAGGTTCCTGCCAGCCTTCGCCTCATTTGGCCCAAAAGAAAAAGTAAGCCAGCCTCACGTACTGAACTTTGTTGCCAATGAGTCTATGCGGGTGGTCAAGGAAAAGTCTCTCTGTCAGATGCAACACAGTACACAGGGCTAGGAGGGAAGAAAAGGAGTGGAAGTGTTTTTAAAATAGTTAAGTGTACACACACATATGTATACCCAGAAATAACTGGAATTAACTGAAAATTCACCACAAAATATAAATGTGATTATCACTTAGAAGTGAAATTACAGTTGATTTTTTTTTTCTTTTTTGCTTATTGTGCACACATGTATTTTGCAATAAGAAAAGTATATACTATTTTTACTTACTTTAAATATATATACTTTTTTTTTTTTTTTTTGAGATGGAGTTTCGCTCTTGTCACCCAGGCTGGAGTGCAGTGGCACGATCTCGGCTCATGGCAACCTCTGCCTCCCAGGTTCAAACGATTCTCCTGCCTCAGCCTCCTGAGTAGCTGGGATTACAGGCACCGGCCACCACGCCCAGCTAAATTTTATATTTTTAGTAGAGACAAGGTTTCACCAAGTTGGCCAGGTTGGTCTTGAACTCCTGACCTCAGGTGATCCACCTGCCTCAGTCTCCCAAAGTGCTACGATTACAGGCGTGAGCCACTGCACCTTAGCCTATTTTTACTTTTTTTGAGTCAGAGTTTTGCTCTGTTGTCCAGGCTAGAGTGCAGTGGCACAGTCTTGGCTCATTACACCCTCCACCTCCCAGTTCAAGTGATTCTCCTGTCTCAGCCTCCTGAGTAGCTGGGATTACAGGCACCTGCCACCCTGCCCAGCTTAATTTTGTATTTTTAGTAGAGACAGGGTTTCGATCTCTTGACCTCATGATCCACCTGCCTTGGTCTCCCAAAGTGCTGGGATTAAAGGTGTGAGCCACCGTGCCCAGCCCCAACCTACTTTTTTTTAATAATTAAAAATTACTGGCCAGGCGCCGTGGCTCACGCCTGTAATCCCAGCACTCTGGGAGGCCAAAGCAGGCAGGTCACCCAAGGTCAGGAGTTTGAGACCAGCCTGGCCAACATGGTAAAACCCTGTCTTTACTAAAAATACAAAAACTAGCCAGGTGTGGTGGTGCACACCTGTAGTCCTAGCTACTCAGGAGGCTGAGACAGGAGAATTGCTTGAACCCGGGAGGTGGAGGTTGCAGTGAGCAGAGATTGTGCCACTGCACTACAGCCTAGGCAACAGAGCGAGACTGTCTCAAAAAAAAAAAAAAAAAGACTAAGGCCAGGCACCATGGCCCACGTCTATAATACCAGCACTTTGGGAGGCTGAGACAGGAGGATTACTTAAGCCCTGGAGTTCAAGATCAGCCTGGGCAACATGGTGAAACCCCCATCTCTTAAAAAAAAAACAGAAATTAGCTGGATGTGGTGGTGTGCACCTATAGTCCCAGCTACTCAGGAAGCTGAGGTGGGAGGACCACCTGAGACCAGGCTGAGGCTGCAGTGAGCCATGACTGTGCCGCTGCACTCCAGCCTGGGCAACAGAGTGAGATCCTGTCTCAGCAACGACAGAAAATTACTATGAAGTTCTAAAAAGAGGCCAGGCATGGTGGCTCACGCCTGTAATCCCAGCACTTTGGAAGGCCGAGGCAGGCGGATTACCTGAGGTCGGGAGTTCGACACCAGCCTTACCAACATGGAGAAACTCCATCTCTACTAAAAAAAAAAAAAAAAAATACAAAATTAGCCAGGTGGTAGTGGCGTATGCCTGTAATCCTAGCTACTCAGGAGGCTGAGGCAAGAGAATCGCTTGAACCCAGGGGGCAGAGGTTGTGGTGGGCTGAGATCACGCCATTGCACTTCAGCCTGAGCAACAAGAGCGAAACTCCATCTCAAAAAAAAAAAAAAGATGAAGCTCATTATAGACTGACATGGACTCTTTCCAGGTCTAGAAAGCACAGTACATACGGCAGGCACACTACCATTTGTGTAAAAAAGGTAGAGAACAAACATATACAGGTATTTACTTGCATATATATAAAATACCAAGGCTACAGAAGAAGCTAATAAAATTGGTTATCTATAGCCGAGGAACTGGGTAGCCAGAGATCAAAGCAGGGGTATAATTTTCAATGTAGACCCTATTGTATCTATTTCTGAATTACATTAGTCTATTTCCTTTTCAAAATTTAACTAAAAATTTTTCTAAAACCAGGAAATGACTAACAGTTGTAGCTCATTAATGGGATGTTGCGATTTATGAGTCAAAAGACTTTTCAAATCACCAATTAGTGGCAGACACCCCTAAGGCAATGTAGAATTTTAAACACACATTTAAAATTCAACTGTTCCTTTTCTGCCAGGATAGAAACCAGTAGTTTTTGTGTCTCTTGGTGGGGGAGTAGAGCCTGCCAGACTCCACAAGAGCTTCTCAGCTGCCTCAACACAAGAAAACCTCGGAGACAGCACCAATTACCCAATCAGCTATAATTACAGCTCATATCATAGCTCCACAGCCATTACTGCTCTGTCTCCACGCATCTCCCAAGTCCCACTTCCCTAACCTTACATTCCCTACAGGAATGAAATTATTCCCATAACAGCTAAGCTGCTGGCCAGATCACTCTGGCCCAGGTTTTTGCAGACCTGACTGGCTGGTCAAGAAAGGGTCTTCTCTGAAGATTTTCCAGAGACTTTGCCTCACTCCTGAGTTCAACTAAGCGTGGAGTAACTTACCATCCTCTGAAGCCATAAGCAGGAATTTCTCAGAAGTGAAAACCTGCTTTTTCTCATCCACAATCAGCTGCCAGAAACTGCTCAGTTTGGCCTCTGCAAGAAACAAAAGGTTACCCCACGACGCAGCTCATCATGTCCCCCAGAGCTGATCCACTCCATCCTGAAGCTGCTGGGGTGGGCTTTGCTGGCAAACCCCCCTCTGCAGCAGGAGGCTCAGTGCTCTTCCATTTGGGGAACTGACCTCAGTCCTTCTGGTATCACTTCCTGTATGAAACTCTTCGGTGGTTCTCTGCTGCCTACAGGAGCCTAGGTAAACTGTTTCTCACCTGGAATTCCCGTCCACCCCAGGCACCAAGCTGGAATACCTGAGGTTTACAGACTCTGGCTTTCCCTGCCCTTCCCTGACTGGGGCTGTTTGGACTTACGCTGGGTCATTCCCTTCAGGATAATGAAATCCTTCCCAGTCTTCAGGGTACTAGTTCAAATGCTTTCTCCATGAAACCCTTCCCAATACCCATCCCCCCAACTAAAAGCAATCTCTCCTTCAAAACTGCTCTAATGCCACATTTTGTCTTAAGCTATGGATATATTTTTTGTATTTCCTCGCTCCTACTATGAAGTAAGCACCCTGAAGTTTGCTGTAGAAGGTCATGTTCATCTTAGCATTCCCCCAGGTAGCCCCGTGCCTTGCATGGCCACAGTGGGCACACCATACTACATGAGGAGAGCTGAGCTCCATTCCTAACCAAAGAAGTAAGTTCAGGTGTGGCCCAGTGCAGAGACTGGGAGATGAAATAAAGAAAGCCTGAAATACGATGTAGCCACAAAAAAATGAGAAAGCTCTTTTTGATGTACTGATTTGGAATCTTTTCGAAGATATATAGTATATATATAGTATCTAATATGATATATAGAGTATGTTACCCAATATGTTCAATTACATGAACACACTATCTCTGGACATAAAATTGGTAATACCTTTTTGTCTTTTTTTTTTTTTTTTAGACAAAGTCTCGCTCTGTCACCCAGGTTGGAGTGCGGTGGCATGATCCTAGTCACTACAACCTACACCTCCCGGATTCAAGTGATTCTCCTGCCTCAGCCTCCCAAGAAGCTGAGATTACAGGCAAGTGCCACCACACCCAGCTGATGTTTGTATTTTTAGTAAAGATGGGGTTTCACCATGTTGGCCAGGATGGTCTCGAAATCCTGACTTCATGACCCGCCCACCTTGGCCTCCAGAAGTGCAAAACTGATAACACTGTTTATGGAGGGAAACTTAATGGCTAAGGGAAAAGACAGGGCTAAGGGGTAGCTTCTCATGTTATATCCTTTTGAATTTTGTACTGTATGAATGTATAACCAACTGAAACAAACAGTCCCAATACTAAACCCTGGTCCATCTGGGTATCATCTACAAGCCCGTGTAGCACTGGAGCAACAGAACGAAGAAGGACAGTGGGACGATGACAGTCCCCTGACTGCATTCCCACTGCCCATGCAACCCTAAGATTCATCCTGCAGATGACAAGCAAACCTGTGGCTGATCCAGTGTGGTCAGGACCAAGCTAACCCTGAACATCAAGACACTCCTCCCAAGGACTCTTGTCAGAGGCCTCTATCTCTACCATCCTGGACACCTCTGGACTCATACCAGCCTGTGAGTCAGCCACTGACAGCTTCAAGAGCAACAAGGCTGCAGCAACCCCTTCAGTGACTGTGGGAACCTGAGTGCTTTGGGAGGCTGCCTTCTCCACTGTCTGGATGAGCAAGGGCAGTAAGTCCAGGGCCTGCAACAGTGTGTCACCTGTGGAGAGAGGACAAGCACCTTAAAGGACATCCTGATTCTTGGAAATGACAGGACTGAGAAAGGATTTATCTAACTAGCTGTGAACCAGATGACTAAAACCCTTCAGTTAATTTTTCAAATATCCCAAAAAGAAGTAAAGTTAAATCAAAACTTAAAAGTCTACAGCCACAAAATTAGAGGCAGAAAGATAATCCTTATGGCTGGGTGCAGTAGCTCACACCTGTAATCCCAGCACTTTGGGAGGCCAAGGCAGGTGGATCACCTGAGGTTGGGAGTTCGAGACCAGCCTGACCAACATGGAGAAACCCTGTCTCTACTAAAAATACAAAATTAGCTGGGTGTGGTCCAGTTATTCAATTGATGGATAAGCAGAGACATTAAGTGAGTTGCTCAAGGTCACACAGCTAGCTGAGGCAAGTCAGTGCCACCCTCAATCCAATCAATTCCCACCTGGTACTCTTCCCCCATACCAGATGACCTTCGGACCCAAATTCAAAAACCAGAACCAATCCACTGACCTCTGAACTAAACTCGTTTAAAAAAAAAAAAAAGGAAGCCAAGCACGGTGGCTCACGCCTGTAATCCCAGCACTTTGGGAGGCTGAGGCGGGGGCATCACGAGGCCAGGAATTCCAGAGCAGCCTGACCAACATGGTGAAACCCCATCTCTATTACAAATACAAAGATTAGCCGGGTGTGGTGGCACACACCTGTAATCCCAGCTACTCAGGAGGCTGAAGCAGGAGAATCGCTTGAACCCAGGAGGCGGAGGTTGCAGTGAGCTGAGACGCACCATTGCACTCCAGCCTGGGTGACAGAATGAGACTCCGTCTCCCAAAAAAAAGAAAAAGAAAAGGCCGGGTGCAGTGGCTCAAGCCTGTAATCCCAGCACTTTGGGAGGCCGAGGCGGGCAGATCACAAGGTCAGGAGATGGAGACCATCCTGGCAAACACAGTGAAACCCCGTCTCTACTAAAAATACAAAAAAATTAGCCAGGCGTGGTGGCGGGCGCCTGTAGTCCCAGCTGCTTGCGAGGCTGAGGCAGGAGAATGGCGTGAGCTCGGGAGGCGGAGATTGCAGTGAGCCGAGATCGCACCACTGCACTCCAGCCTGGTCGACAGAGTGAGATTCTGTCTCAAAAAAAAAGAAAAAAAAAGGAGAAACCAGTTAAAATTATAGTTCAGCTAGGCGCAGTGGCTCATGCCTATAATCCCAGCACTTTGGCAGGCCGAGGTGGGCAGATCACCCAAGGTCAGGAGTTCAAGACCAGCCTGGCCAACATGGCGAAACCCTGCCTCTATTAAAAGGTACAAAAATTAGCCAGGCATGGTGGTGGGCATCTGTAATCCCAGCTACTCAGGAAGCTGAGCTTGGAAAATCGCTTAAACCCGGGAGGCGAAGGTTGCAGTGAGCCAAGATCACGCCACTACACTCCAGCCTGGGTGACAAAGAGAAACTCCATCTCAAAAAAAACTATAGCTCAAGCCCATGTTTTCTTCCCCTGCACCTCCACACCTGGGTTTGTTGTTCCATGTTTTCATAGCTACTAAATGGGCACATCAGAACATTTTATAATGAAAGCAGTTTTCCAGACAATGTTATGGATTCAAATCCAAGAAATTTTTATTATAAAGGTTTTGTTTGGTTTTTAAAAGGTTTATGTTTATTTTAAAAGCAATGAGCATTGAGTTCTGGCACTCTGCATTCCTTTTTTAAAAAATAAATTAAAAATAAATGCAATGAGCAGAACTAGCTCAAGCTGAAGAGACTAGGTAAAACCAAGTTTTTGCCATCTACAATTCAAGGTCCCACCTACAACTGACGGTCATTCAATGCAGCAAAAATGCAAACTGATATAGTACCTAGACTTTCTGTATAACTTTTGGTAGAGACAGAGTCTTGTTATTTTCCCTGGCTGACCTTGAACTCCTGGGCTCAAGCAATCCCACTGCCTCAGCCTCCTGTGTAGCTGGGACCATAGGCATGTACTACCATGCCCAGCTATTTTTTTAATTTTTTATAGAGATGGGGGTCTCACTTTGTTGCCTAGGCTGGTCTCAAACTCCTGGGCTCAAGCAATCCTCCCACCTCAGCCTCCCAAAGTGCTGGGATTACAAGCGTGAGCCACCTTGCCTGGCCTCATAGACTGTTTTTAAGTCATGGATGTGAGTTCACTATATCCTAAGGCAGCTGACAATGTATTGCCTGTACATTTCTACCATGGAAAATCTACAACTTCAGTCAGCACATAGTCAGCACTATGGTTTGAATAAACCTCACAAACCACTGCACAAAGATGATCTATGATTCTGAGCTGGGAGATGTATTTCAGAAAAAGATTAATTGCTTTCAACTCAGTGCAAAAACCTCTTGTGGTCACATTTTTCTTCCCTTATCACTAAAAGAAATAAGTGAGTACAAAGTTCATCAGACAAGGCATTTCACACAGAAGGGTGTCCCCTCTCAAGAGGAGGCCCTGGAATCTCCTAGATGTTTCTTTTTCTTTTCTGAGACAGAGTATCACTCTGTGGCCCAGGTAGGAGTGCAATGGCTTGATCTCGGCTCACTGCAACCTCTGCCTCCCAGGCTCAAGCGATTCTGTCACAGCCTTCCAAGTAGCTGGGATTACAAGCACCTATCATCATGCTTGGCTAATTTTTGTATTTTTGTAGAGACAAGGTTACACCATGTTGGCCAGGCTGGTCTCGAACTCCTGACCTCAGGTGATCCACCAGCCTCGGCCTCCCAAAGTGCTGGGACTATAGGTGTGAGCCACCGCGCCCGGCCCTTAAACCAGTCTTATCTGAGTCATTTCTCCATGATTTCAGATACTGTAGTGACAAGTTCTAGTTCTTGTCCTCTCTGAATAAAACTTTGTACTTTGAAAGTCTGACGAGGGGTAGAAGTCAGAATTTGTTGTAAAGACTGAATTCTGATTTTGAGCTAAGCAGAATGCTCTCATTTATTTCCGGAAGAAATAAATGGTGCAAAATAAGCTGAACTAACAGGGAAAGCAGGAACGCTAATAATACCCTAAAGACTCAGTCACCTCTGCACGGAGACCTGGACACTAGCCCTGGGAGGTGTCTTACCCCGATAAGAGGCCAACATGCACTGCAGGTAGGCGTGCCTCACCGCAGATGTGGAGGTTTTAAGGCTGAAAGCTTTTTTGAACCATTCAGTGAGCTTCTTGGGCACTTCTGTAGTGAATCGGTTACACCAGAGAGCCAGGACTGAGACAGCGTGTACTAAGGTCCCTTCGTGAACTAGGACAAAAAGCAGAAGTCCAGTCAGTCCAATGTCTTATAACCATGTCAAATCATTGCAAGCAGCGCAAAAAACAAGCCAGAGTACCAGGGGGAGGAAGCAGTGATATTTCAGACAGCTCCAAGCCTTGCTCTCTGAGGGAGGTGTGTCTTCAGGGGAGGTTTATGGAAGCAAAGCTCTAATTGTGAAAAACCACGGTCAAGGATGAGTACAAAACGCATGCTCAACATGATGAATGGAATTACCTTCCTGCTGAAGGAATGGGATGAACAGCTCCGCCACGATCCCATTCAGGACCTGACTGGAAGGTCCAGACACCACGTGATGACTGACGCTCCCAATCCCTAAAAGGCAGATTCTCTGTTCAGTCCCTTATCAGCACAAAACCACAAAGAGGGAAGTCTTCCTACTTCTGCCACCTCCGCACTCTGGGTCACAGGCCTCTTCGGTGTCTCCAGCAGGCATACCTCTCCTTTGGCCATTATTGATCTTCCCTCAATGCCTCCTCTACACCTCCTGCCTTCTATAGAAGCCAAGCCTCCTGCTAGACCTGAACAAGGCCCTCTTGCCAAGCATGCAAGCAGCAAGGTCCTAGGAGGCAGGCTGGACCCAAGATGGTCACAGAAGTCAAGATCCAAAGATTCGCCTCACCTAAGAATTATGTTAAAGCTTATCTACTACTAGGCCAGGCGTGGTGGCTCACGCCTGTAATCCCAGCACTTTGGGAGGCCGAGGCAGGTGGATCATGAGGTTAAGAGATCGAGACCATCCTGGCCAACATGGTGAAACCCCGTCTCTACTAAAAATACAAAAAAATTAGCTGGGCATGGTGGTGTGTGCCTGTAGTCCCAGCTACTCACGAGGCTGAGGCAGGAGGAGTGCTTGAACCCGGGAGGTGGAGGTTGCAGTGAGCCAAGATTGTGCCACTGCACTCCAGCCTGGTGACAGAGCAAGACTCCATCTCAAAAAAAAAAAAAAAAAAAAAAAAAGCTTATCTACTACTAGATCACAGCTCTACTCCCAGCAGAGAAATCCTGTATCTGCCTGTAATCCCAGCACTTTGGGAGGCTGAGGCGGGCAGATCACTTGACACCAGGAACCTGGAGTTCAAGACCAGCCTGGCCAATATGGTGAAATCCCATCGCTACTAAAAATACAAAAAAATTAGCCAGGTGTGGTGGTGCGCACCAGTAATCCCACCTACATAGGAGGCTGAGGCACGAGGAATGCTTGAACCTGGGAGGCAGAGGTTGCAGTAAGCTGAGATGGCACCACTACACTCCATCCTAGATGACAGAGCAAGACTTCTCAAAAAAAAAAAAAAGGAAAGAAATCCTGTACCTGAGAGGACACTCATCTTCTGGGCTATAACAGTTAGTTTTCCTTCCGAGCCTGAGAGGAGAGACAGCAAAGATTCACATTCACATATGCCACAGCTCCCAAGAGAGTGAACAATGCAGTCACGTGTGTGATGCCACAATATGGTTTGTGATTAGCCTTTGTGTTGTGAAGTTGGGTTTAAAACAACATTTACTAGCCTTTTGCTTTCTGACTCAAGAAGGAATGTTCCTACAGAAAACTTGTGAAACAGAAAAAATATAAAGAAAAACATTTAAAAGGCAATCATGTTTCCACTACTCAAAGACATTTCTTTTCTGGTGTATTTCCTTTAGTCTTTTCTGCTATGCCTATAAAAATGTGCATCTTAAAAACGAAAAACCTGAGATCACCCCATCCACACCACCCGTGCAGGGTTTTGTTCATTCACACACATTCACATTCCAGTGTGATGTCCTCCTGGCCACACATCCTCGCCACAAGCAGACTTGGAGCATCAAGTCCCCTTCAGATCCCAGTTGAAGGAAATACCAGGGACCATGCCTCAACCACCCCCATGGCCAAGAAGGCTTGCTCACCTCCGAGGATAGCAAATAGGTGCTTGGTCAGGGATTCCATGGCCGAAGAGTCACTGCATTGGCGTGCCAGGTTCCGCAGTGCCAGCACAGCTTCATCCATCAGGCGGGGACTGTTGGATTTCAGGTGACCTGGACACACAAAGCCACTGCTCAGAAGCAGCCAACAACTGAGCAGCCAGACTTTCGTCTTTGTCTTTTCCATGCTGCCATCTCTTCAGTACTAGCTGTATGCTTTCATTCAAATAATCTCAAGAAAGAAACTGCCAGTGCCAATGTAGTTTAGGTTAGAGCCTTATTACTACCTTGAGCTGTCCCCTACCCCGCTACAACAATTAGGACAAGTACAACCAAAACCCAAGGTGCCACTTATGGGCTGAAGAGGGGCTGGGATACTCACCAGCCAGTCCTTTCACGATATCCATGGCATATTGGCTGAGGTCAAGTGTCACTGATGCCAGCAGACTAGAAATAGCTAAGGGGGACAGAAAGCACTGACCATGTCAATCTCAGCAATAAATTCAACAGATAATTTTTTTCCCCTACTCCCCAGCAAATGCCACTTGGCCTGCTGTCCGGCCACATGCAACCATGCCCACCCTTCATCTCTACAGGCTACATGAGTAGTCCCAAAGCTCTGCTGAAAAGCTGTATACCTCCCCATCCCAATCAGCAAAAACTGCCTTTCCAACATCCCACCAACACATTTTACTAAGATACACAGGGACAGAGACTCAACACTCAGATCTCATGATTTCAAGTGCCACCTCCATACTAAGTCCAGAATGTCTAGAGAGGAGGTTCTTAACCTGAATGGTCTCCAGAAAGTTCCTTTGGGGAGGTGGAGGGGTAAGAGGATATTTTGTTTTCTTCCACTCAACTCTGAAGGTGAACATTTGATATTTTCTGGGAATCAAAACAACAGCTAGCACCTACATAAAGCTATAAACTGATCCAGTGGGTTCTTGAACCCCTAAAATTATATGCAGTATTCTTAGTGGATATATTTTTGTGCATTCTTCTAAAAAGACAGCCCATGACTTTCCTTTTCTTCCCTTTTTTTTTTTTTGGACAGGGTCTGGCTCTGTCGCCCAGGCTGGAGTGTAATGGAGTGATCTTGCCTCACTGGAACCTCCACCTTCCAGTTTCAAGTGATTCCCCTGCCTCAGTCTCCCGAGTAGCTGGGACTACAGGCACATGCCACCATGTCTGATTTTTTTGTGTGTTTTTATTAGAGACTGGGTTTAACCAAGTTGGTCAGGCTGGTTTCGAATTCCTGACCTCAGGTAATCCACCTGCCTCAGCCTCCCAAACTGCTGGGATTACAGGCACGAGCCACCGTGCCTGGCCTCTCTTTTGTTTTTTGAGATGGGGTCTCACTATGTCACCCAGGCTGGATGGAGTGCAGTGTTGCCATCTTGGCTCACTGCAACTTCCGCTTCCTGGGCTCAAGCTATCCTCCCACATCAGCCTCCCGAGTTGCGCTCCTGGGCTCAAGTGATCTGCCCACCACCACCTCCCAAAGTGCTGGGATTACAGGTGTGAGCCAATGCGTCTGGCTGACTTCCAACATAATCTCAAAAGGGTCCCCAATCTCTCTCCCAAGGTCCCAACAAGGTAAACAGTGAATACATCCCCCTTCCCTCGCCCCTACCACACACACTTCTTGTTGCCAAATATCGAGAACAGAGATATAGGCAACTCGTCTCCCTCCCACCGTCCTGGTTGACAGCAACCTACTTTCAATAACATTCTCTGGACTCCTCAGTAAGGACTTCTGTATGGTGGGCAGTATCAGATCCTTAAATTCTGAGTGGGACAGGTATCGGAGCAGAGGGGCACAGCTATCCTACAAAGAAAAAGGAATAAGGCACCTAGCCCTCATGGGAACGGACCAAGAAGGAAAAAGAGTTCAGCATCCCAGAATTGAAAATGGGATCAGTTGTCCAGGTGAGTAACGGCCACCTCTCGCTCACCAACAGGTACTTCGGAGGCTTGACTTTGCTCATCAGGATGTTCTTCATGTAAAAGTCCAGTAGGGCGCTCTAGAGAACACAAAGCTCTGGTTAGATCCTGACGTTCTCAAATGTCTCATCACTGGCCTAAGGGGTCCCTCTTGCTAGAGTGCCTCCAAAAAATACAAATCAATGCCCCAAATTTCAGTGTTAAGCACAGAGGTCCCACTGATCATGCAACCCCACTTAAAACCCTTCCACAGCTTTCCATGGCCCTCTGGGATAAAGTCCAAAGTCCTTGGTATGGCTTATAAGGCCCTGCCCACCACTCAGCTGGCTGTGTCACTCTAACCCATTCCCACCACTCCAACTCCTCTCGCCTCCTCTCCGTTCCTGCCTACAGGCTTTCTCTGCCCAAAATGCTCTGCCTCACCTCTTGACCTTGCTAATTCCTCTTCACTCTCAAAGTTCCTTCTTTAGAGAGATGTGTTCTCTGACCCACAGCCTAAATCAGGTTCTTCCGTTGTGGAGTCTCACAGCTTCTCACACTTTCCCTTTGTAGCACATACTAGTGATAATTAACTAGACTATCTGTTTAATGTCAGTTTCTCAGACTCAGTTCCATGGGGGCAGGGGTCACAGCTCCCTTACTCGCTGGTGTACCCCCAACACCGGGCACAGTGCCTAGAACATGGCAGCCACTCAACTGGGATAAATAAGTGACTGCATGAACAAGCAAACTATCACCCAAGCCAGAAACAGAAGGGAAACTTTCCAACTCCTAAAAGTTCATGTATCATGGCAAAAGGCCAGAGGCTTACATGAGAAAATCAACAAGTTTCAGATGAGGTCAACAGCTAGGGTCACCAGGGCAAAGCAGGTTCCCATTCCTTCCCTCCAGCGAACTCCCAACATTCCCAGCGTAGCAAACCCACAGTCACTCTGCCTTGGCACTTGCCTTGTGCGGACTGACCACGTCCATCTCCTTGTGGCTCGTGCAGAACTGCACCAGCAGCCCCAGCATGCCGGCATAGTTCTGGTTGGGCTCTAGGCTGAGAATGGCTGACAAGTACTGTTCCACCAGCCCGGGGTTCTAAAGAGGAAAGTGCCGGGCAGGTGTATAAGATGGCAGCGGGGGAGTGGCATGGAAGAAGCAATGCCCGCCAGCCCCTGCAGTCCTGTCACCTCTTTCCACAGCTTCGTGAGTTTCTTCACAGCACCATCCACGGCGTGCTTGTGGGAGCCGCCCAGCACCTCCAGCAAGAGCAGGCACTGCACTTCCACCTGCCAGGACCAGGAAAGACTCAGGTCAAGATGGGACACGAGATTGAGGGTTCCATGGCCCTCAAAGCCTGCAAAGACCTCCATCAGTCCCTCCAAATCCTGGCTTCATCTCCACTCAGCTTCTCCCACTCAACTCCAGCCAGATCCTCCTCCCTCCATCTCACACATTTTGTTCTGTCCTTTAACGACACTGTTCCCGCTAGGGTTCATTTAATAAGTATTTGGTGATCACCTGTTATGAGTCAGACGATGAAGGCACAAGGGGAGTAAGACAGATATGGTCCCTGCTTTTTTTTTTTTTAAAGACAGAGTCTCGCTATGTCACCAGGGCGGAGTGCAGTGGCACAATTTCAGCTCACTACAACCTCCACCTCCCGGGTTCAAGTGATTCTCCTGCCTCAGTCTCCCAAGTAGCTGTGACTACAGATGCGTGCCACCACGCTCAGTTAATTTTTGTATTTTTAGTAGAGACAAGGTTTCACCACGTTGGCCATGAGAGTCTCGATCACTTGACCTCGTGATCTGCCCGCCTCGGCCTCCCAAAGTGCTGTGATTACAGGCGTGAGCCACTGTGCCCAGCCAGTTCCTGCTTTCATGTACCTTAGAATTCAGAGGAAAAAAAATGATATTAAACAAATAAATACACAAATGAATATACAATTTCAGTGAGGTTTAAGTGCCATCCAGGAAAAGAATAAGGGTCCTGTCTCATTTACTTTGTATCTGCCTTGACCTGCCCTTCATTAATTCCACAAATACTGACCACTGACTACATGGCAGGCTCTATGCTGAGCACTGTGAATACAGAAGTGCAGCTTGATATGGCGATTCGAACTGCATGGAGTTCACACCATCCAACCCAGATTGACATACATAATAGGTCCTCGACTAAAAAAATCTCAGAGGCTGCCGGACCTAGTGGCTCACACCTGTAATCCCAGCACTTTGGGAGGTCAAGGCAGGCGGATCACCTGAGGTCGGGAGTTCGATACCAGCCTGACCAACATGGAGAAACCCCGTCTCTACTAAAAACACAAAATTAGCCGGGCGTGGTGGCGCATGCCTGTAATCCCACCTACTCGGGAGGCTGAGGCAGTAGAATCGCTTGAACCCAGGAGGCGGAGGTTGCGGTCAGCCGAGATCACACCATTGCACTCCAGCCTGGGCAACAAGAGCGGAATTCCACCTCAAAAAAAAAAAAAAAAGGCCGGGTGCAATGGTTCACGCCTGTAATCCCAACACTTTGGGAGGCTGAGGCGGGCGGATCACAAGGTCAAGAGATCGAGACCATCCTGGCCAACATCGTGAAACCCCATTGCTACTAAAAATACAAAAATTAGCTGGGCGTGGTGGTGGGCGCCTACAGTCCCAGCTACTCAGGAGGCTGAGGCAGGAGAATGGCGTGAACCCGGGAGGCGGAGCTTGCAGCGAGCCGAGATGGCGCCACTGCACTCCAGTCTGGGCGACAAAGCGAGACTCCGTCTCAAAAAAATAAAAGAAAACAGATACGCTTGTGAAAGCAATGCTGATAAATTCCATCTGCATATATACAAAATGGCATATGTACAAGGTTATTCATTGCAGCACTGTTAGTTAACAATAAAAAAACGGGCCGGGCGCGGTGGCTCACGCCTGTAATCCCAGCACTTTGGGAGGCCGAGGTGGGTGGATCACGAGGTCAGGAGATCGAGACCATCCTGGCTAATACGGTGAAACCCCGTCTGTACTAAATATACAAAAAATTAGCCAGACGTGGTGGCGGGCGGCTGTAGTCCCAGCTACTCGGGAGGCTGAGGCAGGAGAATGGTGTGAACCCGGGAGGCGGAGCTTGCAGTGAGCCGAGATCGTGCCACTGTACTCCAGCTTGGGCGACAAAGCGAGGCTACGTCTTAAAAAAAAAAAGAAAAAAATGAAACCAATGCTGATAAATTCTGTTTGCATATATACAAAATGGCATATGTACAAGGTAATTCATTGCAGCACTGTTAGTAATGATAAAAAACCATAAACAACAGAAGATTCCCTATATACAGTGTGGTATAGAAAGGATTACTGGCTGGGCATGGTGGCTCACGCCTATAAACCCAGCACTTCGGAAGACCAAAGCAGGTGGTTCCCTTGAGCCCAGGAGTTCAAGACCAACCTGGGCAATGAAAGAAAACCCCATCTCTAAAAAAATACAAAAATTAGCCAGGCATACACCAGCATGCCTGTAGCCCCAGCTACTCAGGAGGCTGCAATAGAAGGATCACTTGATCCCAGGAGGTCAAGGCTGCAGTAATCCAAGATCATGCCACTGTGCTCCAGCCTGGGTGACAGAGCAAGATCTTTGTCTCAAAAAAAAAAAAAAAAAAAAAAAAAAAATCTGCAGAATCATGGTGTGTGAAAAAATTTTTTTAAATATATTTTTTTAAAAGTAGACTAGGCACAATGGCGTATACCTGTAATCCCTGCACTTTGGGAGGCTGAGACAGACAGATCACCTGAGGTCGGGAGTTTGAGACTAGCCTGGCCAACATGGCAAAACCCAACCTCTACTAAAAATACAAAAATTAGCCAGGTGTGGTGGCATACACATATAGTCCCAGTTATACTCAGGAGGCTGAGGATGGAGAATTGCTTGAACCCAGGACGCAGAGGTTGCAGTGAGCCAAGATTGCGCCATTACATTCCAACCTGAGTGACAGAATCAGACTCAGTTTCTCAAAAAAAAAAAAAAAAAAAAAACCACTCAGTGGAGATAAGCCAATGAGTTTGCCCCTCTCACAAGGAGGCGTCCGGTAACAAAGACACCCATGCCCTGAAGGGGATCCAAGAGAGTCCAACCTCACAATAATACATAATCCTTGACCCTCAAGGTTTCAGCATTCTAATCCATCATCCATCAATTATACTGATAGCCACTCTATGCTTGCCCCCAGAGTTGTGCTGGTTAAGCTACTGGGGTTGCCGCCCTCTATCTAACTAGCAGGCTGCTTCATGGAGAGGTACTTGTGTTTCCTAAGGCTGGTCATCACTGGCACCTACCTGCATGAGACTCTCCAGTTTCCATAGCCATCTCAACCCTCAACTAAACCTGGCCTTATACAACAATTCTTCAAGGCGGACAGGGTGGGTAGTATTTTCTTTCCCACTTTGCAAATGAGGAAATGGGCTCAGAAGTTAAGTGACTCAGCCAAGTCTCATGGATAAGAATCAGATCCAAGGGCAGGCAAAGTGGCTCACACCTGTAATCCCAACACTTTGGGAGGCCAAGGCAGGCGGATCATCTGAGGTCAGGACTTCAAGGCCAGCCTGGCCACCATGGAAAAACCCTGTCTCCACTAAAAATACAAAAAAATTAGCCAGGCAGGGTGGCAGGCTTCTGTAACCCCAGCTACTCGGGAGGCTGAGGCAGGAGAATCGCTTGAACCCAGGAGGTGGAGCTTGCAGTGAGCCAACACCACACTACCGCACTCCAGCCTGGGCAACAGAGCAAGACTCCGTCTCAAAAAAAAAAACAAAAACAAACAAAAAAAACACTCCTCATGACCTACACTAAGCCTATCCAGGTATCCAGGCACATGTCTGCTCTGCTCACCTCCCAACCTGGGGAGCAGACATGTGGGAAGAAAAAGAAGAGAATGTGGAAGAAGCAGGTAGAGAATGGAAGGAGGGAATGTAAGAACCAAAACCAAGACAAGAAATCCATTCCATTCACCAGTTCAACACTGAAATCAAACACAGGGAACGGAATGATTAGCCAGAAAAAAACCAAGAGGATTTATACTATGGTATTTTCTAGTCTAGTTGCTTTTTGACTGTCTTCCCAACTCTGGCCTGTCACGGCTTCCACACATGCCATGAAATCAAGGACCTCGTTTCTGTTGTCCATCACTGCAATTCCAGTGCCTAGCACCACGCCTGACAGGGAAGCTCCAAAATGTCTAATACACCAAGGAATGTGATTATGAAGCACTCATGGCCATCTACCAAAGCCACACGACTCGGGACAACTCAGAGTGTCTGGTCACCCAGCACCCAGAAAAGCACTTGGCACCAAGAAGGTGCTGAAACACGCCCTAACTCCTGGCAGAAAGCTGATCCTTGCTACTTCAGAGATGCAGGGAACCTACCAGTTTGTTCCAGATGTCTCCTTGTCGCTTGGCTCTCGACGGAAAGACAATGCGCACCAGAAGGCAGGTCCAGGTCAAGGCCAGCAAGGCGGCGGAGCCACTGCTTTTACTGCAGAGCAGAGGAGGGGGTGAGTTCAGAGCAGCAGCCTCCACCTTGAGGACAAACACTGTCCCTAAGGCCCCGCCTGGTAATGCAGGACCCTCCCTTGACCTCATAGAACAGAACTGGAACCAGTTCCCCACAAACCATCTGTGGCAATTCAGAACAAGGAGTCCAGGTTTCAGTGGCCAGACTCCCGTCTCTTGGCACTGACAACTATATAAAACAAACAGACGGCTTCCACCATTAGGGGCCTGGTGGGCAACTGGTTCCCCTCAAAATGGCCTTGCTTCCACTGTTTCCCAACCCTGCTCCTCCGGAAAGTGGTTTTCTCCACTAGGCTTGCATCCTGGCTCCTCCCTCTGGGGCACGGTCAACTGCATCAGCTTCTCCTAAGCAGGACTCTACCAATTCTCAAGGGGCCACAACTTTTACCTCTTACCTGGGAACACCTGCTTTGGAGCCTATACCGCAAGACTGCAGAGAGTGTAGAAGGTTCTTAGCAGTGGCTTCTGGCTGGGCCTCGGCCAACTGCTGGATGGCTGCCTGCAAGGCCCTGCGGGAGGCTGCATCTCTAGGGGGAGAGGCAAAGGGAAAGGTGAACATGCAGACCTCAGGCAGAGGCAGGGGCAAGGCTGCTGAGGCCATGCACTGGTCTTTCTCAGGAGAAAGTGATCACACCATATTCCAGTGGATCACAGAGGAGGGATTAGGAAATAACTAGATAAACTCACCTCCTCCTAGAGTTCTAAAAGTATCTCATAAGCACATATAAGCCATGCAGTGTGTAAGGGCAGCACCTACATTTATGGAGCAGTTATAAGGGTCTCAAAGTAGGCCAGGCGATTTAACACACATGACTAATGGCAGCATACACACACTCACCACTGTGGCACAGCAGGCAACTGTTCCAAGCACCTCACGCTTACTACCAACCACCCATGAGATAGAGAATGGCATCATCCCCATTCTGCAGACAAGGAAACTAAGGCACAGAGAGGTTAAGTAACTTGCCCAGGATCTAACAGCTAGGACGTGATATAGCCCAGATTTGGCACCAGGACGTCTGGCTCTAACCTGGGCTCTAACCACTACCCTAAATCCCCTCTCTGTACAAAGTGCTCCAGATACGGGGCCTTTGGCTGGGACTCACCTATATCGATGCAGAGTCAAGCAGAACAATTTGCAGAGCCCCTTCACTGCTCCCTCTGGCAGATCTGAAACCAAAGATTACACAGAGATTAGTCAATAAAAATGACTTGATAAGCTGCTGGAGTCAGGTATCCTGCCAGACATGATTTCAGCCCACTGGGCACTCCCCATATATTTAAGACCTTCCTCCCCAAGAGGAAAAAGCAACAACAAAATAGGATTCTAGGAAAATGCCTGGCACAGAAAAGCTTTGCGTAGACATTTGCTAAATGAATGAAACTAAGAAAATACAAGTGGCCTTGAAACCTCACATGCCATCAAGTGGAGGTTCAGGAGTGCTGGAATGATTCTACTTGAACTGGGTGCTGGTTATACTGGTGTTTAATATGTGATGAATCAGTGAGCTGTTTGATTAGGAGGCGTACCTTTCTTTACACACATTCTAATAAACAGTTTTAAAAACAGTACAACATTGAAGTACTATGAGGGACCAAAAGAGGAAAGAACACCTATAACTGGAGAGTTTCTGAAAGTCTGAAGGACACATAAGCTTGGCCTGACAGATTAGGAGGCTGTGGAAAAATGGAAAGAGAGGGAGATACATGTGGAGTGCAGGATTAAGAAGGCAGTAATACCTATTCAGAACACACAAGGAAGAAAAGAGGAGGACTAATAACACCCCAGCTCTTAGTGCTAACAAGATGCCAGACCTTGCTCTAGATAATTCATACACATTAACTCACTTAATCCATACAAGGTAGGCACTGTTATCAAGCCCCCCCGCCCCTGCCGCTTTTATTTTTCAGACAGAGTATCGCTCCACCGCCCCGGCTGGAGTGCAGTGGTGCAATCTTGGCTCACTGCAACCTCGCCTCCCAGGTTCAAGTGATTCTTCTGCCTCAGCCTCCCGAGTAGCTGCGACTACAAGTGCACACCACCACGCCCAGTTAATTTTTGTATTTTTAGTAGAGACGGGGTTTCACCATGTTGGCAGTGCTGGTCTCAAACTCCTGATCTCGTGATTCACCCGCCTCAGCCTCCCAAAGTGCTAGTATTACAGGTGTGAGCCACGACGCCTGGATCAAGCCCATTTTTAAATGAAGAAACCAAGTAACGGGAAATCAAGTCAGCCAGTCAGAGTGAAATAGATACACCCTAACTCTGGAGTGAAACAGATACACTCTAACGCTGGGTAGAAAGAGTTCAACTCTTCCTTGAACAAGAGTGTTTAATATGGCTGGGCACAGTGGCTCACGCCTGCAATCCCAACACTTTGGGAGGCCAAGGTGGGAGGATAACTTGAGGCCAGGAGTTTGAGACCAGCCTGGCCAACACGGCGAAACCCAGTTTCTCCTAAAATTACAAAAATTACCTGGGCATGGTGGTACATGCCTGTAATCCCAGTTACTCAGGAGACTGAAGAAGGAGAATCGCTTGAACCCAGGAGGTGGAGGCTGCAGCGAGCACAGATGGCGCCACTGCACTCCAGGCCAGGAGACAGAGCGAGCCCCATCTCAAAAAAAAAAAAAAAAGAGTGCTCAATAATGTTGGAAAGTTAACCTGTGACAAGTACTGCATGCCACAGTGAAGCATGCACACAAAAGGGAGAAGCTTCTGAGGAGGAGGAAATTTAACCTGCAGTGTAAGACAGACTTATACTGGGTGTAGGAGGAACCTGAGAGCAGGAGGTCCATACCATTCCTCACACTTCAGGCACCTGAATGATGGAAGAGAAATGAATGAGGTACAGGGACACAGTTTCCCCAGGGCTCTGACCACTGCATTGGTCCATGTGATTTGGGGCTATTTCACTAACTGGGGAAAAGAATGACTGGGGCCAGAAACAGGCTGTGGCTAAGACAATGACAATAACAACAGCTAACGTACACTGTGAGCTTACCATAGCCAGACAATGCGTTACGTTTACTCCAACCTACCAAGGAAGTACTACTGCTATCTCCACGTTTAAAGCAAAAAAAACAGGCTCAGAGAGGTGAAGTCACTTGAAGCAGGTCACAGAACCTGTAACTGGCACAGCTTGTCTGAGCCCTTCATCACTGACTGCTGCACTAGAGGCCTGTGACCGGAAAGATTGGTATCACATGGCTTTTTCTAACTAGGGAGCTCTGCTGGGAAAGTGACCAGAAAAACCTTTGAGGATTTCATAAAACTCATGCATTGAAGCATTAACACACAAGAGAATCTCTGAGACGCTCACAAACAGCAAGTTTACAAGCTTGGGTATCTTACTAGCCATAAGTAGGTCAGAAGCAGCAAATGAGAAGCTGGGTGAAGTGGTACAAATAGGAAGTAACAGTGGACAGAAAGGGAGGCCCAATTTATATGACCATGATTTTCTTTCTCTTTTTTTCGAAACAAAGTTTCGCTCTTGTCGCCCAGGCTGGAGTGCAATGGCGCAATCTCAGCTTATTGCAACCTCCGCCACCCGGGTTCAAGCAATTCTCCTGCCTCAGCCTCCCTAAGTAACTGGGATTACAGGTGCCCACCACCACGCCCAGCTAATTTTTTTTGTATTTTTAGTTGAGATGGGGTTTCACCACGTTGGCCAGGCTGGTCTTAAACTCCTGACCTCAGGTGATCCATCCTCCTTGGCCTCCTAAAGTGCTGGGATTATAGGTGGGAGCTACCGAGCCCAGCCATGGCCATGATTTTCAAACTTTAGTCAACATAGGAATCACCTAAAGGATTTGTTAAAACACAGATACTGGGTTCTGTGCTCAACCTTTTATTTATTTATTTATTTATTTATTTACTTACTTATTTAGACACAGGGTCTCGCTCTGTCACCCAGGCTGGAAAGCAGTGGCACAATCATGGACCACTACAGCCTCAACCTCCCGGGCTCAAGCGATCCTCCTACCTCTCAACCTCCCAAGTAGCTGGCGTTACAGCACCTCCAGGATTTCTGATTTGAGTTGCTCCATTGGAGCTGAGAATTTTTATCTCTAACAAGTTGCGAGATGATGCTGATGTTGCCTGTCCAGGAACCACACTTTGAGAGCCAATGCTATACAGTAAAAACAAACACACCAAAAGAAATGAAAAAAAAAAAAAAAAAAAAACCCTAGAATTTATTGAGTGAAGGTAAAATGGTCTTACTCTAATAAGTCATAGAGCTATCCCTTGGTTATGGTGCAGATCAGGATAATTAGATATATTCAGCATTCCTCAAAATGAGTTCCCCGGACCCTGAACAGATTTTCAGCAAAAAAGAGGTTCAAAGAAAACATTGGATTCAAGGAAGCTTAATAAAATGAAAACACGCTGCTGTGAATATTCCAAGAGGGCATCAAAAACATGACCTCTAGGCTGGGTGCAGTGCCTCACGCCTGTAATCCCAGCACTTTTGGAGGCCGAGGCGGGCGGATCACCTGAGATCAGGAGTTCGAGACCAGCCTGGCCAACGTGGTGAAATCCCATCTCTACTAAAAATACAAATATTAGCTGGCCATGGTGGCATGTGCCTGTAATCCCAACTACTCAGGAGGCTGAGGCAGGAGAATCACTTGAACCCAGGAGGCGGAGGTTGCAGTGAGCCGAAGTTGCGCCACAGCACTCCAGGCTGGGTGACAGAGCAAGATTCTGTCTCACAAAAAAACAAAAAAAACAGAAAACCTCTCCCAACTTATTTGATCTTGGAATCCTTTATTGGACAATCACCTACTACCATGTTGCTGAATTCCATGGAACACAGACTGGGAAAAATGATATCCCAAGTCATAAACGAAATATTTTTGGTCGGGGGCGGTGGCTCACACCTGTAATCCCAGCACTTCGGGAGGCCGGGGTGGGCAGATCACGAGGTCAGGAGATCGAGACCATCCTGGCTAACACAGTGAAACCCCATCTCTACTAAAAATACAAAAAATTAGCAGGCACCTGTAGTCCCAGCTACTCAGGAGGCTGAGGCAGAATGGCGTGAACCCGGGAAGCAGAGCTTGCAGTGAGCTGAGATCGCGCCACTGCACCCAAGCCTGGGCGACAGAGTGAGACTCTGACTCAAAAAAAAAAAAAAAAAAGTTACACTCAGTATACTACCTGAGAAAGATTTTAGCTATCTTTTTAAAATATTTCCAATGAAAATGGTTAAAAGTGTAAATAGCTTTCACACCTGAATGAACTCTCCACTAACCCAAAAGTTTTAACTGTTTCAATTCACGTTATAGCAAGGAAATAAAGTAAAGGCAGAAGTTGTGCAGGAAGAGGGGAAGAAGACCATGGTTCTTTTTTTTTGAGACGGAGTCTTGCTCTGTCGCCCAGGCTGGAGTGCAGTGGCCGGATCTCAGCTCACTGCAACCTCCATTGCCTCCCAGGTTCGAGCAATTCTCCTGCCTCAGCCTCCTGAGTAGCTGGGATTACAGATGCGTGCCACCATGCCCAGCTAATTTTTGTGTTCTTAGCAGAGACGGGGTTTCACCATGTTGGTCAGGCTGGTCTCGAACTCCTGGCTTCATGATCCACCCGCCTCAGCTCCCAAAGTATTGGGATTACAGGCATGAGCCACTGCACCTGGGCTTTTTTTTTTTGTTTTTGAGACGTAGTCTCACTCTGTTGCCCAGGCAGGAGTGCGGTGGCACAATCTCAGCTCACTGCCACCTCCACCTCCTGGGTTCAAGCAATTCTCCTGCCTCAGCCTCCTGAGTAGCTGGGATTACAGGTGCACACCACCACACCTGGCTAATTTTTGTATTTTTTTTTTTAGTAGAGACGGGGTTTCACCATGTTGGCCAGGCTGGTCTCGAACCCCGGACATTGTGATCTGCCCACCTCAGCCTCCCAAAGTGCTAGGATTACAGGCGTGAGCCACCGCGCCTGGCCAAGGCCATGGTTCTAAAGAAACAATTTCAGTTGGGCCCAGTGGCTCATGCCTGAAATCCCAGCATCTTGAGAGGCCGAGGCAGGGGGATCACTTGAGGTCAGAAGTTCAGGACCAGCCTGGCCAACATGGTGAAACCCTATCTCTATTAAAAATATGAAAATTAGCTGGGTGTGATGGTACAGACCTGTAATCCCAGCTACTGGGGAGGGTGAAGCATGAGAATCACCTGAACCAGCAAGGTGGAGGTTGTAGTGGGCCGAGAGCATGCCACTGCACTCCAGCCTGGGCAACATCATAAGACTCTGTCTCGAAAAGAAGAAGAAAAGAAAAAAAAAACACGCAATTTATTTTTTATATGGAACACTGTCATTCAAGACCAGCCTGGCCAACATAGTGAAATCCCATCTCTACTAAAAATACAAAAATTAGCGAGGTGTGGTGGTGGGCACCTGTAATCCCAGCTACTCGGGAGGCTGAGGGCAGGAGAATCACTTGAACCCAGGAGGTGGAGGTTGCAGTGAGCTGAGATCATGTCACTGCACTTCAGCCAGGGCGACAGTGCGAGACTCTCTCTCAAAAAAAAAGAAAAAAAAGGCCGGGCCCGGTGGCTCAGGCCTGTGATCCCAGCACTTTGGGAGGCCGAGACAGGCAGATCACGAGGTCAGGAGATCAAGACCATCCTGGCGAACACGGTGAAACCCCGTTTCTCCTAAAAAAAATACAAAAAACTAGCCGAGCGAGGTGGCGGGCGCCTGTAATCCCAGCTACTCCGGAGGTTGAGGCAGGAGAATGGCGTAAACCCGGGAGGCGGAGCTTGCAGTGAGCTGAGATCCGGTCACTGCACTCCAGCCTGGGCGATACACCGAGACTCCATCTTAAAAAAAAAAAAGAATATTGTCCAGGGTACATGGATGACAAATAAATACCTTTTCCAGCAACACACTTCCCAAGTTCACTGAGGATTTCTCTCCGTTCCTTTACACTGGCTGTTGTCACCTTCCCTGCAAAACGCTTTAGTGTCTCAGAAACCTGTGAAGGCCAAGCGACAGAAAATTTCACCAGTCAGACTATAAAACAATGTTTGTGTTGAGGGGTGGGTGTAGAATTCGGGGATCTCTCTAACCTGGGGTTTCTCAACCTCCCCACTGAGACATTTTGGGCCGGGTAATTCTTTTTTTTTTTTTGAGACGGAGTCTCGCTCTGCCGCCCAGGCTGGAGTACAGTGGCCGGATCTCAGCTCACTGCAAGCTCCGCCTCCCAGGTTCACACCATTCTCCTGCCTCAGCCTCCCGAGTAGCTGGGACTACAGGCGCCCGCCACCTCGCCCGGCTAGTTTTTTGTATTTTTTAGTAGAGACGGGTTTCACGGTGTTAGCCAGGATGGTCTCGATCTCCTGACCTCATGATCCGCCTGTCTCGGCCTCCCAAAGTGCTGAGATTACAGGCTTGAGCCACCGCGCCCGGCCAAGGGCCGGGTAATTCTTGTTGTGGGGGGCCGTGTTTTTAGCGGCATTCCAGGTCTCTACCCACTTGACATCAGTAGCAGCCCATCTCCCCCACCCGCCCCAGTTGTGACACTATCAAATGTCTCCTGGGAGGCAAAATCACTCCCACTTGAGATGTACTGCTTTAATTCAACTAGTCAACAACTCAATATACTTTACTTAAACTTGGGCAATAAGAGGAAAGGCAAAGACCTCTGAACAGAAAATATCCCTTCAGAACTACCCAAAATCTAGCAAGGGCCTAGTACATGCCAAGCATGTTCCCTTTACATTATCTCACTTTAACCTCCCCGTAAGGGGAATGTCAGCATCCTGGCAACTCACTGGCAGAGGATAAGCACACTGGCTAAAACGTGAAAGGTTAGGAGATTGGATCCCAGCTCTGCCTTTTACTAGCTGTGGAAACTTAGTCAAATAATGTCACTCCCCTGATCTTTACTTTTTTCATCTATGGAGATTAAATGAGATTGTGTATAAGGGGCGTCTACTCTCATCCCAAGCATAAAGTTGGCTACTACTACCAATAAGCCTGCAAGGGAGGCATCAGCATCCCCACTTTACAGAGGAAGTCACTGCTCAGAGTGGAGATGAGAGCCATAGCACCTGCGTTTTTGAAACTAACCTTGAAACCAAACAGGTCTATAAACTGATGCTAACAAATCTTTAGCTTTCGACAGTCATCGAGTTACCACAGATGCAGTCCCCAGCGTAGGGACATAAGCATAAGACCCAGTGACTGGGGGCAGTTTGCAAACATCCCTGAAAATCTGCTCCTGAGCAATATTCTACAAGCTACCAAGTGGGCAGGCTGTGGGTTCACAAGCCGTCGAGCAGGGCATGATAAGGCTCATGTAACTTAACAAAGTGGGGTCATCATCTTTTTCTTTTGAGGGTATTTCACAGGCAGGCCTTATCAGTAGCATAAGAGGCAAGTGTACACGCAGAAATGAAACAATGCTGAGTTTTTCATGCTTAAATCCCTGCCGTAATTCTATTGGCAACGTCCAAAACTGTCTTCTACGTAAATGACGTATTGTTTTAACTTTAAAATGTCTTTTGTTTTTGGCTGGGTGTGGTGGCTCACGCTTGCAATCCCAGCACTTTGGGAGGCCGAGGCGGGCAGATCACAAGGTCGAGATTGAGACCATCCTGGCTAACACAGTGAAACCCCGTCTCTACTAAAAATACAAAAAATTAGCCGGGCGTGGTGGCGGGCACCTGTAGTCCCAGCTACTCAAGAGGCTGAGGCAGGAGAATGGCGTGAACCCGGGAGGGGGAGGTTGCAGTGAGCCAAGATCGCACCACTGCACCCCAGCCTGGGCGACAGAGCAAGACTCCGTCTCAAAAAAAAAAAAAAAAAGTATTTTGTCATAGATGCACATAAGTCAAAACCAAAAAGTTCTCAGAGGTCTGCCATAAAAACCAGTCCCTTGCCCTCACTCTCCACGGACAACCCTTAGGTTGATCTAGTGGGTATTTGGGTAGTTACCTCCATATATCTAAGTATCTCTAACTATGGAGGTAACTTGCGCGTGCTTCTTGATTTTTCAGTTTTGCTACCTTTCCACCACAGCTCCCTTTCCTGCTCTGACCCCATCGCACACTCTCCCCATTTCCCCAGTGGAAATCCCCAGTTTCATAATATAGGCGAGGTAAGTAGTCAGTGATTACATTATATGTAAAGGGCATTCAACATCCATTTAATAAACTCTTATTCTTCCCAGCTTTTTTATGTCCCTGGTGTTAATAATTACCCTTTCCCACCATGCTTCAGTTTGACTTTTTTTCTTTTTTTAAATCTATTCTTATAAATAATTAAACCCCAAGCTTTTTGCCATTTGTCTAAATCTCAGTACATTTAGTCAGATCAGGTATTCCATCAAATTCCACCTTCCTAAGGAAATCTCTCCCAGTTTTCTGACCTGCCCCAATTAGGCATGTGATCCTCTACAGCTGGGGCACAGTTTATCACCCTGAACATGTACTTTCTTGTGTTTAGGTGAAGCACATCCTCCATTTTGTAAACTCCTTGCAAGTATGAAAATGTTCTGGCCAAATACAGAATTCTAGGTTGAAATCCTTTTCCTTTAGAATACTGAAGACAAGGCCAGGCACGGTGGCTCATGCCTGTAATCCCAGCACTTTGGGAGGCCGAGGCAGGCGGATTGCTTGAGGTCAGAACTTTGAGACCAGCCCGCCCAACATGGTGAAACCTGTCTCTACAAAACCTACAAAAATTAGCCAGGCGTGGTGGCGCATGCCTGTAATCCCAGCTACTCGGGAAGCTGAGGCAGGAGATTGCTTGAACCTGGGAGGCGGAGGTTGCAGTGAGTTGAGATTGTGCCATTGCACTCCAGCCTAGAGAGGAATTCCGTCTCAAAAAACAAAATAAAATAATCTCAGGCCGGGCATGGTGACTCGCCTGTAATCCCAGCACTTCGGGAGGTCAAGGCGGGAGGATCACCTGAGGTCAGGAGATCGAGACCAGCCTGGTCAACATGGAGAAACCCCCTCTACTAAAAATACAAAAATTATAAAATACAGAAATATTATCATGCATCACCCAATGCAGTAGCTACTGGCTACATGCGGCTAACTGTGCACTGAAATGTGGCTGGTACAAGTGAAGAACTAATTTTTTTTTTTTTTTTTGAGACAGAGTCCCCACTCTTGTTGCTCAGGCTGGAGCGCAGTGGCGCAATCTTGGCTTACTGCAACCTCTGCCTCTCGGTTCAAGCGATTCTCATGCCTCAGCCTCCTCAGTAGCTGGAATTACAGACATGCACCACCACACCCAGCTAATTTTTGCATTTTTAGTAGAGACAGGGTTTTGCCATATAGGTCAGGCTGGTGGAAAACTCCTGACCTCAAGGGTGATCCATCCACCTCGGCCTCCAAAAGTGCTGGGATTACAGGGTGAGCCACCACGCCCAGCCAAAAACTGAATTTTTTTTATTTCATTTAATTTTAACAAACTTAAGTAGCCATGTGGCTGCCATACTGGACATTGCAGCTCTAGAGAAGATTCTTCCTCAAGTGAGTATCAATGTTAAATATTCAGCATGTATTCCTCTAACCCGCTCATACTAAGCTTTTCTTTCTAGGATTCAGTACAACATAATCTGAATATCAGCCACCTGCATACCAGAGTCTTAATAAATGTCTTTTTGAATGTTCAAGTTAAGTGGTCATTTTCTGGGCCTACTCATAAAAATCAATCCCATCACCCTGGAGACCCCAAATCAGCCCAGCTGTCCTTTACACACCTGTTTTTCCCCTGCCCCGTAACAATGTCTTTTCACCTTCAAACATAACCACAACTGGGTGGAGGAAAAGGTTTTCCCAAGTCCTTCCTGAACTACAAGGTACCCACAGGTAACACTCAAGGGTGACAAGACTCTTCCTGGGCAGGATACAGTTCTCTTCACTAACCCTGCATCTGATAACAACCAACATATATCAAGCCCTATTTTATCTCACTGAACCTTCACAACAACCTTTTAAGGTAAGTATTGTTTTAACCTCATTTTATAGATGAAAAGGCAGACTTGGCGGGGTTAAGTCACTTGTTTTGCATGTCACAGAAATCGACGAGCAGGAACTCAAGCCCAGATCTGTATGAATCCAAAGTCTACACTCAAAGAACATCTGCTGAATACAAAGTTTAACGAAGACTTGGCGTTGGCCCGCGGCTCACAGCCGGAGGGGTTTGGAGACAAGAAGCAGAGGCTCGGTAAAGTGAACTTTTGCAACTCCGGGGTCGGGCAAAGGCCCCGCCGAGCTCCAGCTGCCGAAGTCGAGGAGGGAGCCCCGGACTCCTCGAGCCCGCGGTCTGCCTCCGCCGCCCCGGCCGGGCCAAGCCCGCAGCCGTGAGAGTCCGGCCTGAGACGGCCCCGAGACTACGCCCGCCACGGCCACCACCCCCAGCGCCCCTAAGCCGAGGAGCGAGAGCGGCCCCACCCGACGGCCACCGTCCGCACCCAGTCCCTGGCCCCGTTGGCCCCGCAGCCGCCCGCCTCACCTGCGTGTCCGCCGCCATCCTGCCGGGGCTGACTCCGGAACCGCTTCCGGAGCGCTTCCGGGTCACAGCGAGGCCCACGCGGCAGGGCGAGGCCGGCAGCCAGCTGGGGCAGGGCCCCGGGCTTGGCGCCACCGGGCGGGACGGCGGCCGCTGCAGCCCGGGCAGCCGGATCACGGGCTTGAAGTTGGCCCGCGCCGGAGCCACAAGGCCTCCTCCCCAGGGCCCTCTCTTCAGCCCCAGGCGCCTCGTGGGAGACTAGCGCTTATAACGTGGTGAGCCCGCGGTGTAACGCTATGAGCCCGCCTTGCAGCCCCTGACCCACTTCCAGCCCGCAGGGCCAGCCTTACATGGGCCTTTCCTGAGTGATGACTACGTTCTTTAGAAAAACAAGTGTTGCTTCCTAGATAGCAGGAACTAAAAACTAGGTAAAAGAGTCAGCGAACTAGTCTTTTGTCCTCAGTTTGTAGTTCAGTTGACGGATGACTTGTACAGGGTTAGCAAACATGGGTAGATACGGAGATCAGGGAAGGTTCAGAACTGAAGGAGGCCCCTGCCCTGGGGAAATGCTGGATGCCCCAGGCTGGGAGTTTTGAAGGCCACGAGGCAGGAGGCTACTTGCAGATGTGGCTGCAATTTAGAGAATAGGGTCCTCACAGCTTAGTTGTCGGCCCTGTTAGCAGTGACTTTCAAACCTTTGACACAGACCTAGTTAGAATGAACATACCATGTTCCGGCAGACAGATCTGTAAGTGAAATACAGGAATCACAACAAATCACCTGTTCTCAGCAGATGCTTTCTCTTTAAATACTGGGGCCAAGCATGGTGGCACACACCTGTAATCCCAGCACTTTGGTAGGCTGAAGTGGGTGGATCAACCTGATGTCAGGATTTCCTGACCAGCCTTGTCAACATGACTCTCTACTGTCTCTACTAAAAATACCAAAAAAAAAAAAAAAAAAAAAAAAAAAAAAAAAAAAAACAGGCCGGGTGCAGTGGCTCACGCTTGTAATCCCAGCACTTTGGGAGGCCGAGGCAGGCGGATCACGAGATCAGGAGTACAAGACCAGCCTGGCCAACACAGTGAAACCCCGTCTCTACTAAAAATACAAAAATTAGCCAGGTGTGATGGCACATGCCTGTAGTCCCGGCTACTTGGGAGGCTGAGGTGGGAGAACAGCTTGAACCTAGGAGGCAGAGGTTGCAGTGAGCTGAGACCGCCATTGTGCTCCAGCCTGGGTGACAGAGTGAGACTCCGTCTCAAAAAAAGAAACCAAAAAAAAAAAAAATTTTTGCCAGGTATGGTGGCAGCTGCCTGTGGTAATTCCAGCTTCTTGGGAGGCTGAAGCAGGAGAATCGCTTGAACCCAGGAGGCGGAGATTGCAGTGAGTGAAGACCAAGCCACTGCACCCCAGTCTGGGAAACAGGGTGAGACTGTCTCAAAAATACAAACTGTTCACCACCTACTAATGAGTTGGAGCACCATCCAGTTTGAAAAACTGCTCTATGGGACTGGCCCTAGCATCCACCAGGTGCCTATCTCAGCTGACACTAAACCTACTCTACTGCAGTGGCCATGGAAATAGCAATTCTAGTGTAATACAGTTACAACTGTGTTTAGAAAACCATACAGGATGTTTGACCGGTAGCTTCATTTAGATACAAAGAGGTTACCCAAACATCAACACCTAAATACAAAGCTCTATAGTTTCACCATGGCTTTGGTTTCTAGCATATGGCACTATAAAGCCTCAAAATTAAGGGCCAGGCACACGGTGGCTCAAGCCTATAATCCTAGCACTTTGGGCGGCTGAGGCGGGAGGATTCCTTGAAGCCAGGAATGAGACCAGCTTGTGCAACATCTCTACAAAATTAGTAGCTGAGCGTCATGGTGTGTGCCTGTAGTCCCAGCTACTTGGGAGGCTGAGATAGGAGGATCGATCCCCTTGACCCCAAGAGTTCGAGGGTGCAGTGAGTTGTAGTTACACCACCGCACTCCAGCCTGGGCAACAGCCAGACCCTGTATCAAAAAGGAAAAAAAAAAATACAAAATTAAGAGTCCAGAGACTTTTTAAAGAAGTAAGCCTTTATTTCCTTGTTTTGCAAATAAAGCTGGCTAAGTTGGTTGCTTTTTGGTGATTAGTCAAAGAGACCAAATCCCATATCCTCGTCCGACTCCTCCGACTCTTCCTTGGCTTCAACCTTAGCTGGGGCTGCAGCAGCAGCAGCAGGAGCAGCTGTGGTGGCAGCGGCCACAGGGGCAGCAGCCACAAAGGCAGATGGATCAGCCAAGAAGGCCTTGACCTGAAGAGAGGGAGAAGTGGTCAAAATGGTCATCCACACTCCGCTACTACCCACCCTCCTGCCATGGTAGAGTTTAAGGAGCAACAATATCACAGTGTGAAGCCTTGCCTGTCACAAGTGGCCCAAGCAGGACAGCTTGGGTATGGCCTAGTGAGGGGGGGATCCTAAGGCCCAGCTCTTGCCCATTAACCCCCTTTGGGTCTCTTGTCATTTCTCAAGTGAGAAACGCCTTCCCTGCCCCCCAACTTCTCAAATATCCTCACAAAATTATCTGCTATATAAAATACAACTGTAAAGGCACTTTAGGCCACCATTTGTCACCCTAATTTGTCAGTCAGGCCCACTGTGGTACTGGTGGGATCCTTTTACCTTTTCAGCAAGTGGGAAGGTGTAATCCGTCTCCACAGACAAGGCCAGGACTCGTTTGTACCCGTTGATGATAGAATGGGGTACTGATGCAACAGTCGGGTAGCCAATCTGCAGACAGACACTGGCAACATTGCGGACACCCTGGGGGAGGGAAGATTTCATTTTACGTGAGATTCCCTACAGGAAAGGAAGTCCAAGTAAAGTTTAATAAAGAGAACCCTTGGCAGACAATAATTGCCAGGTTGGCAGCTCAGTCTCGAGAGGCCACATCATCTCATACCAATTCAGACCCATCAAATGAATTTTGCCCTTACTCCAAACCCAGGTGTTCTGTATACCATTATTGACGGCATTTACTTCCAAAGCCACTACCATAGTGAAAAGCATAAATGACTAACATCGCCATTGAGTTCCATGAACGAAAATGTTCAACTATTTCCAGATATGAATTTCATTCACTAGTCAAACTTTCAACAAGTAAATGAAGCTACCTCAGAGTAGCTAATAATATCTAATTATATACATTAATTTCAATTTATGGTTTATCCAAGAAAAAACATTTTCTATCACTATTATTCATTATTTAAAGGGCATTTTTTAGACAGAGTCTCACTCTGTCACTCAGGCTGGAGTGCAGTGTGGCACCATGTCGGCTCACTGCAACCTCCGCCTCTTAAAGGGCATTTTGATGGCAAAATTTGACAGTCTTATTCCTGGCCCTAGAATAACAGCCCAGCACTGTTCTTTTTTTTTTTTTTTTTTGAGACGGAGTCTCACTCTGTCTCCCAGGCTGGAGTGCAGTGGCGCGATCTCCACTCACTGCAAGCTCTGCCTCCCGGGGTTCACGCCATTCTCCTGCCTCAGCCTCCCGAGTAGCTGGGACTACAGGCGCCCGCCACCTCGCCTGGCTAGTTTTTTGTATTTTTTAGTAGAGACAGGGTTTCACCGTGTTAGTCAGGATGGTCTCGATCTCCTGAACTCGTGATCCGCCCATCTCGGCCTCCCAAAGTGCTGGGATTACAGGTGTAAGCCACCGCGCCCAGCCTGCCCAGCACTGTTCTAAGACTTTACATCCATTAATTCATTAAATCCTTCAACAATCTTATGTTGTTATTGACATTTTACAGATGAGGCAGGTAGACAGATGAAAACACAGTCCTTGGTTACAGGGACTCAGTCTGACCCTTGTCATGCTCTCAACCATCAGTGTAAGAGGGGGCAAGGCTGAGAGCATGTACCTCCAGGAAGCGAGAATGCAGAGTTTCCTCTGTGATGTCAAGCACTTCAGGATTGTAGATGCTGCCATTGTCAAACACCTGCTGGATGACCAGCCCAAAGGAGAAGGGGGAGATGTTGAGCATGTTCAGCAGCGTGGCTTCGCTGGCTCCCACTTTGTCTCCAGTCTTGATCAGCTGCACATCACTCTGAACAAAGTAACAGTGGGGCAGTAAACACCTGGACAACCAACAGACCCATGGCCACTAAAAGCAGTCCCCCATTTGCCTGGTTAGCACAGGCAAACCAGGTCCACTCACCAGGATTTCAATGGTGCCCCTGGAGATTTTAGTGGTGATACCTAAAGCCTGGAAAAAGGAGGTCTTCTCGGGCCCAAGTCCAGTGTTCTGGGCTGGCACAGTGACTTCACATGGAGCAATGGCACCAGCACGGGCAGCAGCTGGCACCTGACAAAGACAACAAACAGTGAGAAAAGCCTCTCCACTCATACAACCTGAGAATGGTCCATTTTGCTTTAAGAAGCAACTACAAAATCTCTTTAGCCAACTCAATTGTCCCCTTACCTTATTGGCCAGCAACATGTCCCTGATCTCAGTGAGGTCCTCCTTGGTGAACACAAAGCCCACATTTCCCCGGATATGAGGCAGCAGTCTGCAAAGAGAAGTTTACGGGAGAAAATCACCTTTCAGCACCATTCTCTAGGAAGAGGGAGACGGGCACTGGGGAGGGAGGACAAAACTGCCAGTGGAACTGACTTCTCCAGAGCTGGGTTGTTTTCCAGGTGCCCTCGGATGGCCTTGCGCATCATGGTGTTCTTGCCCATCAGCACCACGGCCTTCCCTCGAAGGGACATGCGGATCTGCTGCATCTGCTTGGAGCCCACATTGTCTGCTCCCACGATGAAACATTTCGGATAATCATCCAATAGTTGCTACAAAAAACAAGTCAGAGGAGCCAAGTTTAACAGGAAGAAAGAGGGAAAAAAATGCCAGGAGAAACTGAACCCCACAATTTGTTTCCTTCTCACTCCCTTTCTTCTAAGCTTTTGAAGTCAGAGGGAGAGTGGGAGCTACGTTGTAACACTGCCAAACTGGATGACTGGTTTGCTGGGTATGAATGCTGAAGATCAGGTTTCTACATTCGATCAAGTTTTTCCTTTATTTTTTTTTATTTTTTATTTTTTTGGAGATGGAGTCTCACTCTGTCGCCCAGGCTGGAGTGCA